GTGGCTATTATGTGTGGATTGGCTTATTCAAAAGTTGAATGGCCTGGACTTGGTAATTGGTATTTTCTCAAGGTGACTCACTCAAAGTGATTTTTATGCTGAGTTGAATTGACATCTAAGATTATCATATATCATTCGAACGCGCATCATTTGATGTATCTAAAACCAGGTGGCTATTATGTGTGGATTGACTTATTCAAAATTTGTATTGCCTGGACTTAGTAATGGGTATTTTTTCAATGTGGCTCACTCAAAATGATTTTTATCGCCGAGTTTAGATGACATCTAAGATTGTCATATGTCATTCGAAAATACATTAATTGATGTATCTAAAACCATGTGGCTATGATGTGTGGATTGACTTATTCAAAATTTGTATTGCCTGGACTTAGTAATGGGTATTTTCTCAAGGTGACTCACTCAAAGTGATTTTTATGCTGAGTTGAATTGACATCTAAGATTATCATATGTCATTCGAAAGTACATTAATTGATGTATCTAAAACCATGTGGCTATCATGTGTGGATTGGCTTATTCAAAATTTGTATTGCCTGGACTTAGTAATTGGTAATTTTTCAATGTGGCTCACTCAAAGCGATTTTTATCGCTGAGTTTAGATGACATCTAAGATTGTCATATGTCATTCGAAAGTACATTAATTGATGTATCTAAAACCAGGTGGCTATTATGTGTGGATTGGCTTATTCAAAAGTTGAATGGCCTGGACTTGGTAATTGGTATTTTCTCAAGGTGACTCACTCAAAGTGATTTTTATGCTGAGTTGAATTGACATCTAAGATTATCATATATCATTCGAACGCGCATCATTTGATGTATCTAAAACCAGGTGGCTATTATGTGTGGATTGACTTATTCAAAATTTGTATTGCCTGGACTTAGTAATGGGTATTTTTTCAATGTGGCTCACTCAAAATGATTTTTATCGCCGAGTTTAGATGACATCTAAGATTGTCATATGTCATTCGAAAATACATTAATTGATGTATCTAAAACCATGTGGCTATGATGTGTGGATTGACTTATTCAAAATTTGTATTGCCTGGACTTAGTAATGGGTATTTTCTCAAGGTGACTCACTCAAAGTGATTTTTATGCTGAGTTGAATTGACATCTAAGATTATCATATGTCATTCGAAAGTACATTAATTGATGTATCTAAAACCATGTGGCTATCATGTGTGGATTGACTTATTCAAAATTTGTATTGCCTGGACTTAGTAATTGGTAATTTTTCAATGTGGCTCACTCAAAGCGATTTTTATCGCTGAGTTTAGATGACATCTAAGATTGTCATATGTCATTCGAAAGTACATTAATTGATGTATCTAAAACCAGGTGGCTATTATGTGTGGATTGACTTATTCAAAATTTGTATTGCCTGGACTTAGTAATGGGTATTTTTTCAATGTGGCTCACTCAAAGCGATTTTTATCGCTGAGTTTAGATGACATCTAAGATTGTCATATGTCATTCGAAAGTACATTAATTGATGTATCTAAAACCATGTGGCTATCATGTGTGGATTGACTTATTCAAAATTTGTATTGCCTGGACTTTGTAATGGGTATTTTTTCAATGTGGCTCACTCAAAGTGATTTTTATCGCTGAGTTTAGATGTCATCTAAGATTGTCATATGTCATTCGAAAGTACATTAATTGATGTATCTAAAACCATGTGGCTATCATGTGTGGATTGACTTATTCAAAATTTGTATTGCCTGGACTTAGTAATGGGTATTTTTTCAATGTGGTTCACTCAAAGTGATTTTTATCGCTGACATTAATTGATGTATCTAAAACCAGGTGGCTATTATGTGTGGATTGACTTATTCAAAATTTGTATTGCCTGGACTTAGTAATGGGTAATTTTTCAATGTGGCTCACTCAAAGCGATTTTTATCGCTGAGTTTAGATGACATCTAAGATTGTCATATGTCATTCGAAAGTACATTAATTGATGCATCTAAAACCAGGTGGCTATTATGTGTGGATTGGCTTATTCAAAAGTTGAATGGCCTGGACTTGGTAATTGGTATTTTCTCAAGGTGACTCACTCAAAGTGATTTTTATGCTGAGTTGAATTGACATCTAAGATTATCATATATCATTCGAACGCGCATCATTTGATGTATCTAAAACCAGGTGGCTATTATGTGTGGATTGACTTATTCAAAATTTGTATTGCCTGGACTTAGTAATGGGTATTTTTTCAATGTGGCTCACTCAAAATGATTTTTATCGCCGAGTTTAGATGACATCTAAGATTGTCATATGTCATTCGAAAATACATTAATTGATGTATCTAAAACCATGTGGCTATCATGTGTGGATTGACTTATTCAAAATTTGTATTGCCTGGACTTAGTAATGGGTATTTTCTCAAGGTGACTCACTCAAAGTGATTTTTATGCTGAGTTGAATTGACATCTAAGATTATCATATGTCATTCGAAAGTACATTAATTGATGTATCTAAAACCATGTGGCTATCATGTGAGGATTGACTTATTCAAAATTTGTATTGCCCGGACTTAGTAATGGGTAATTTTTCAATGTGGCTCACTCAAAGCGATTTTTATCGCTGAGTTTAGATGACATCTAAGATTGTCATATGTCATTCGAAAGTACATTAATTGAAGTATCTAAAACCAGGTGGCTATTATGTGTGGATTGACTTATTCAAAATTTGTATTGCCTGGACTTAGTAATGGGTATTTTTTCAATGTGGCTCACTCAAAGCGATTTTTATCGCTGAGTTTAGATGACATCTAAGATTGTCATATGTCATTCGAAAGTACATTAATTGATGTATCTAAAACCATGTGGCTATCATGTGTGGATTGACTTATTCAAAATTTGTATTGCCTGGACTTAGTAATAATTTTTTTCAATGTGGCTCACTCAAAGTGATTTTTATCGCTGAGTTTAGATGACATCTAAGATTGTCATATGTCATTCGAAAGTACATTAATTGATGTATTTAAAACCAGGTTACTATTATGTGTGGATTGACTTATTCAAAATTTGTATTACCTGGACTTAGTAATGGGTATTTTTTCAATGTGGCTCACTCAAAGCGATTTTTATCGCTGAGTTTAGATGACATCTAAGATTGTCATATGTCAATCGAAAGTACATTAATTGATGTATTTAAAACCAGGTGGCTATTATGTGTGGATTGACTTATTCAAAATTTGTATTGCCTGGACTTAGTAATGGGTATTTTTTAATGTGGTTCACTCAAAGTGATTTTTATCGCTGAGTTTAGATGACATCTAAGATTGTCATATGTCATTCGAAAGTACATTAATTGATGTATCTAAAACCAGATGGCTATTATGTGTGAATTGACTTATTCAAAATTTGTATTGCCTGGACTTAGTAATAATTTTTTTCAATGTGGCTCACTCAAAGCGATTTTTATCGCTGAGTTTAGATGAATCTAAGATTGTCATATGTCATTCGAAAGTACATTAATTGTTGTATCTAAAACCAGATGGCTATTATGTGTGGATTGACTTATTCAAAATTTGTATTGCCTGGACTTAGTAATGGGTATTTTTTCAATGTGGCTCACTCAAAGCGATTTTTATCGCTGAGTTTAGATGACATCTAAGATTGTCATATGTCATTCGAAAGTACATTAATTGATGTATCTAAAACCAGGTGGCTATCATGTGTGGATTGGCTTATTCAAAAGTTGAATGGCCTGGACTTGGTAATGGGTATTTTCTCAAGGTGACTCACTCAAAGTGATTTTTTTCGCTGAGTTTAATTGACATCTATGATTGTCATATATCATTCGAACGTGCATCATTTGATGTATCTAAAACCAGTGGGCTAATGTGTGTGGATTGACTTATTCAAAAGTTGTATGGCCTGGACTTAGTAATGGATATTTTCTCAATAAAATATTTATTTCATTTTCGACTCGAAATCTCTAGAATAAGGGCTTGAAATAAAACGAGTCATAGGTATTATATACAGTATTTAATGCTCTATCGAATGCGATACTGCAGATCCATCAGTGATTTTATACCACGACTATTTTTCCTTCCAAAATTAAATGTTTTTAAACTTTAATATTGAATTGTAAATTTGTTTTATAAATATTAATCATTCTGGCCGACTAGAACAAGATTCGATATATTTTTACCAACTTTATTGACAAAAATTGTAAAAATCTGGTTTCTTGGCATTCCTGAAAAAGGAATGCTGAAAAAGGAAGAGATCTGGTGGGCTGTTCTTCCAAAATTTACAAAATTCTCGCCTGCGGCGCAGGAAAGGTATTTAGATTCAGATGGATATCAGTATATTAAAATGTGAAAAGTTTGGTGGAAAAGTTAAAAATCCCATGGAAAAAGATGAAAAAGGACATGGCAAGATTTTTCTGAATTAATCCGATTGGGACCCGGACTCAATCAAGCCCTGCTACCAGCCCTGCCCTGCTACCAGCCATGAAAGAATCTATATGAATAATTTTATCTTTTTATTTATAATAAGTTTAGCTATTTTTAAGTTTCTAAAAATTAACTGACTTTAAATAATATCAAAATAAAATTTATATGAAAATTTATTAAAATTTAAATCTAAATAAAATTATGAATTAATTTTAAAAATTAATTTAAATAACAATTCTATCAATTTTCTTTTCTAAGCTAGATAAATGTAAATGGTAGTTTGTAGCATTAATTAGATTATTCTTCAGACCTTCTCCAGTCTTCAGCGTCCTCCTATAACACTTTGTATTCCCCCACCTCCATATAAACCCCCACCTCCTGATACAAACGAAGATCCAGAATGTCCATAGCCGCCACCAATTACGCTTTGAATTCCACCGCCTCCAGCACCGCCTCCGCCAGAAACAAAGCTAGAAGCTGCTGGTGCAACCTTTTTTTAAAGAGTTTATTTGAATCTTAATTGAATTACTGACTAAGATTCTCCCTAAAATGGCTCTTGATTTAAGGATTGCTCGATGTAATGAATTTGAATTCGGTCTTAATTTCCCAGTCCTATACTTATCATTAATATATACCGGAGCATAATAAGGATAATAATAGGCTGGAGCAGCTACAACGGGAGCAGCAGCAACCACCGGTACTGCATCGCCTCTCTTTACTCGCATACTTAAGATTAAATTATTATTATCATTCCTCATAAAGATTCACCGGTCAGCAGGAGGTGGAGGTGCAGAAACCACAATTTGTGCAATTAAAGCAGCTACAATTAAAAAAAAGGCTGCCCCAGCAAGCTCCAGCTTCGTTTCTGGAGGTGGCGCAAGTGGAGGAGGAGGAATCCAAAGCGTAATTGGTGGAGGATATGGCCTTTCTGGATCTTCCTTTGTTGCTGGTGGAGGCGGCAGTGGGGGAGGTATTCAAAGCGTTATTGGAGGTGGATCTTCATTTGTAGCTGGAGGAGGTGGATATGGACATGGAGGATACGGTTATGGTGGATATGGATATGGACGTTAAATTATTTAGAATGAAATGATCAAAATATTTATTTAAAATGATGTAGAAAACAAAAATTTTCTAAAATTCACAAATATTTAATTGTATTTTAAAATATTAAATTTTTTCAAAAATTTTAAATCACTTAAAAATCTGTAAAATATGTATGACATGTATCACAACGTACTCATGTTTTGTAAAGACTACGTAAGGAAGCTGCCTATGGCTCTGGGTTCGGGACCTACACTTACGGTCTGGTAATCTAAGTGAGAACTTGATTCTATTACTCACCAGCAATCAAGGTTATCTGATCCAATTCCTAATACACCATCAACAGATGGACAAATAAGCAAAGGGAGAAAAAGATGAATAGAAAAGTTCGGGTTATTCGTAGCTTTGCCAAAATCAGCCAATACGAATCCTAATTTCGAGCATCTACAACAACGGCAAATGACTTTTCTCCAAATTTTCAATTTCTCCAACTTTTCTTTTTGCCAATTCGTCATCGATTTTCGGGTTATTTTTCCCAAAATTTGAAGATTTAGAAAAATATTTTCTATTTGAAACATTTGAATTTTTTCGATTTTTAGAAACTTTTTTGCTTAGAAACAACTTTGACTGTGAGTCAGGTGTCTATTCTTGCTTTCGAAGAAGGCGGGAAAAACTTAAAAGTATTAAAAAAATAACTATAAATTGGCAAATAAAAAATAAAATGCGAATAAATTTTATAAGATAAAAGTACGTGAATAGAATGTCTGTAAGATAACATTGATAATAATAGTTTGGAACCCCCCCCCCCCCCACTTTTTTTCCTTTCTATTTTTCCCTAGTTTTTTCCCATTTTATGGCAAATTAGATATCATTCGAAAGAGCTCTTCGAGCTAAGTCGAATGACATTAAAATGAAAAAAAGCTTTTCCCAACGAGGATTTAGCTTCATAATTTTTGTAAAAATGATCAGATCTAGCCAATCATGGTATCATTCGACCAAACTCGAAGAGCTCTTTCGAATGATATATGATAAATTATGTAGCAAACAAAAAAGCTCAGAATGGTCAGGGAAACAGTGAAAAAAAGGAGGGGGGCGAATTCCAAACTATTACCAAAATATTTAAAAAATGCACATAAAACAAGGGCTCTCATCGGAGAAAAGAAATTTTATGCATGTTCAAATCTCATATATGTATTTTTCTCACGCGTCTTTTTCAGCATGTGTGAGAGAGAAAACAAAAAAGATTTTTTTTCAATTTTTAGCCCCGCAGGCGAAAATTTCCAAAATTTTAAGGAAAATTTAATTTTTTTAACCAAAAAATTTTAATTTTTTAAAGCACAAAGTTCCAAAATAAATTCGAATGAGAGCCCTGCATAAAACAAAAATAATTTAATCGAAAGTCAATGAGAAACTATTCACAAAAAGAAACTTATGGTTTAGGTATCCTTTTTTAGCCACGTCCTTTTTTCCCTTTTCCATAGTTTTTCAATTCAGCTGAAGATGTAGAAAAGGTTAGTGAAGAAATAGATTAACTCATCGAGCTGAGTTTAATGACACCAGAATCTGTCCTTGATCTCTGGGAAGAATTACATGGGTCAAAATGTCATTTTGAGACAAATGATTCTAAACACAGAATTACCGGAATAACTAAAAATACCGGGACCATTATTTCAAAATGAAAAAGGAAAAAGAGGCGTGTCCAAAAAAGGATACCTAAACCATATAAAATCTCATAAAAATATAAATTTCATTAAGCAAGAAATTGATGAGGAATTGTTTCGTCATCATCAAATAATAACCTGATCAGTTCTGGGTTAAATCTATAACCACAATAAAGATGTTTAAAAGCACAACCAGATAAATGTTCAAACCAACAACGAAGTGTAACAAGATCCTTGATATTTTTTGGAAAAGCTGGCAAATCCAAGAGAAGATGGATTTCATTTTCGATTTTTTCAAGTCTGACAAGAATTGGGCTCTGTTTTGTTGAATGATGTAAATACAAATGAATTGATGTAGCTAATGCTGCATTCCACTGAAAAAAATTAAATGTAATTTTATTAAGAATTAGTTCAACCTTCTTTCTAAGTTGATCATTTAATGTAAATCTAAAAAGTCCAGATTGAAGGTTAATCATTTTAGCGCTTTGAAAGACTTTATCACTGAGTATTACATTTACAAGTCGATTGAATTTCTTCTTTGCCAATTGTTCTTCATGTTTATTAATTAAATTGCAAAAGTAAAAATTGGTTTGTCTTTGAGAAAACAATTGGTTGAAATTAAGGCATTTTAATATATCAAGTCGAACATCATTTGGAAGAGAAAACATTGGATCCTTTACCTAAAAAAGAGTAAATAAAAAATTATAGAATTTATTATTTAAAAGTGGAAAAATTGGAAGATTACTCAAATTTCATTTATAAAATTTCAAGCACGCAAAAATGAGGTCTGCACTTTTATTCCGCAAAGTTCGGGTACGCGAAATGCTGTTCCGCAAAGTTCGCGCCACAAAATTGAGTATTAAAAATAAAAACAATTTTACTAATACTCACTGGCAAATAATCATAATGTTGTTGTTCAATTGCTGTAGAGGTGGAAGGAATGCTGGAGCAAATTAAAAAAATACTACGGCGGTTGACAAAAACCTAAAAAATTAAATTTAATTAAATTTATGAATATTATTATACTTCAAAAGGTGATCCGAGGATCGGAGTACCAATAAAATTGACATTGATTGAGTAAAAATCAGGTGATTGGACTGTGTATCTGAATTGGAAAGTTTTAGAAATTGTTATCAAAATTAGTATAAGCGAAAAAAAACGAACTCGACTTGATAATTGTTTTCATGTAGATGCTGTACAGTTCCAACTTCAGCCTTTTTGGGCCCATCAATTAATACGGTTAATTTTCCACCATTCAAATTTTTTGTATAGCAAACAGTAAATTTATTAGGGCGGCCAAGTACGCCAACAGTCAATCCAGGACCATCCGCCCAAGCCATAAAAACACGTTTATCAGCTAAAAAGTTGGGGAAACACTAGGTTACAGAGTAAAAAATTGCCAGAATGTTGAGTTAAAAACTCTATTATACAAGTGACGGGCCAAAACGTGAAAAGGACAAGACATATACAGAAAAAATTAGGTCGTACAAAACGCGGTGTTAAAGGCGGTGTGTGTGTTTAGTATTACGTGTTAAAATTCTCGTTTTGCCCCTAAAACCCTTTAAAAATGATGAATCATTTAACATTGAGTTGATTAATTTGCGGCACGTGTCTAATGGAAGTTAACGAGTTTCAGGCTTTAAACTAGTAAAATTAACCTCCATTTTTCTGCTTTTTAAACCTTTCATCATTAACAGAAAATGGACCGAGGGGAGAGGCATAAGTGCCGCAAAACTTTTTTTTTTTCAAAAATTAAAATCATACAATTTTTCATTGCAAGATTTGGTGGAGCATCTTGAAGATTTGGCCCAACATATTCCCGTCGTTTTATCTTTAAAATGTTAAAATTATTATTAAAAAAGCTAAAAAGTAATTCAAAGGTCCCCGGTACTTCAACAAAGCTTAATTTATATAACATTAAAAGCAAAATGTTGGATCTCAGAGGGAGGGGGAGGCACACCCGAAATATAAAATTTTGGATTCGAAAAATTGAACAAAAAATTAAAATTTCCCGAAAAAATAAAAATTTTATGCAGATATTTTTAATGTGTGAATACGCCTTATAGCACAGAAATCTTACCAAATCGCATGTGTGATCAGCACACAAAATGTAATTGTTTTGAAATTCTCTCAAATAACCATTGCATTTATATAATTTATTTGTAAGTTTTGAGCAGCGCCATACTCCTTTTTTTTTAAAATTATATGTGAATTGGCCGTGTATGATACTCCTATTGCTTTTCGTAGTTGGGGCAAAGAAAACCCATTCATTTAGTCTAAAATAGAAAAAATAAGCTCGCCAACCGAAAGCCAAAAAAAACCTCTCAACACATTCCTTGCGACGTTCAACCAAAAAAGAATCAAAGCATTCCAAGGCATATTTTGAATCAAAACGGATGGAATATTTAGCTTCATATTCGGCATGGTCAATAGAATACAATCAGTTGGTAGTTTTAAAAGAATTTTTTGTCCTGGAAGAGCAGATACATAGTAAAGCTGAAAAATTGAAAGGAAAATTATAGAGGCGAAAAAAATTAGGTAAATCAATAAAAAAAAGCTAAACTACTATCAATAAATACGAAAAATGAGCCGGTCTATGGATTCGGAAAATAAAGATGCAGATAGAATAAATGAAAAATCCAGATCAGGGTAAAGGTATCGCTCATTACCCCATGAAAAAACATGTTTTGCGAATGCAATAAAATGCTCTGATTATGTATGAATGAAATATCAGATGAGCTCTTTCAAATGAGCTGGTACTTCCAAATTCAAATTTTTGACCCCAAAAATCGGGTTGGTCTTCTCGACGGGCTTTCAATTTTCAGGGGTTTGCAAATCTCGGAGAAAAAGTATATATTACCAATACTATCCTTATTGGCTTTTTTTGATATTAGGTATCGCCGTATCATTATATACATGATAAATGTTTTTGAAGGGTTGATAAGCGATACACTAGCCGAGATCAGCCTCTAAAAACACTATCTAACAATAAAAATAACACCACAAAATAAAAAAAAATACAATTGGGATGGCAGTCCGACATTGTGGGCATTGTTTTTTTTCTCTAATCACGCGGATACGCAGTGAACATTCCATACAGATCTATAAAATAAATTAGAAACAATTCCAATTAAAACAAAAAATAAACCGGATGCATGCACTCCCCAAGTCCAAAAAGATCAGAACGTTGACAACAAATTAAGCAATCGCTGATTTCCCCAATCGTTGGAATTCCAGCATGGTCTGTACGTTCCTAAAAAATTAAAAAAAAATAACTGAAAGTTCAAAAGAAATTTTGAAGTAAACTGGACAGATAATAGAGGATGAGCCCAAGAAGTATGGGAAGGCTGAGGACTCACTAGAATAATAGGAAAATTTGCCAGAAAAAAACGGCGCGCGGAAAAAACGGCGCGAAAAAACGGCGCGCGGCCATAACGGCGTAAAGCCATAACTTGCCTCAAAATTTCTGAATCTTAACAAATTTAGTGTTAAACGATTCCACTCATCGAGCTTAAGAGTTCGATTCCAAAATTGATAAACGCCAGAAATTTTCCAGCAGTTATGGCTTTGCGCCGTTATGGCCGCGCGCCGTTTTGGGTATGTCCCATTTTCAAAAACCCGACTTTGGTTAAGGACTTTGAGTCATTGAAATTAAGGAACAATGAAAACTCGATTCTGGTTACAGAAAATCGAGTCAAGGATTCAGATCCATTCAGATCTATGACAAAACACTTAAAAAATAATAACTGACTTTGGAGCAGGTTGTTGCTGGTTGTTACCATGAGAAGTTTGTCCTGATTGTTTGTTGTTTTGATCGCCTTCATGTTGATTCGTCTAAATTTTGAAATTCTACATTTATCAAGCTAAATAAATTAAAAACCTTTTGATTATTTTCTTTAGTCAAATTTTGCTGATCTTGAGTATTTTGTTGTTTGGCTTTGCTTCGAGTGATCATATTTTTAAAATCAATTTTCCTAAACAGTTAAAAAAACTATAATTTAAACAATTTTGAAAATTTTTACAAAAAACAAGATTTTAGTAGTTCCTGACTTCGAAAAAGGCGGGAAAAACTTAAAAGTATTAAAAAAATAACAATTAATTGGCACATACGAAAAAAAATGCGAATAAATTTTATAAGACAAAAATATGTGAATAGGATGTCTATAAGATAACATTGATAATAATAGTTTGGAATTCCCCCCCCCCTTTTTTTCCTTTCTATTTTTCCCTAGTTTTTTCCCATTTTATGGCAAATTAGATATCATTCGAAAGAGCTCTTCGAGCTAAGTCGAATGACATTAGAATGAAAAAAAAGCTTTTCCCAACGAGGATTTAGCTTCATAATTTTTTGTAAAAATGATCAGATCTAGCCAATCATGATATCATTCGACCAAGCTCGAAAAGCTCTTTCGAATGATAAATTATATATCAAACAAAGAAGCTCAAAATGGTCAGGGAAACAGTGAAAAAAAAGGGAAGGGCGAATTCCAAACTATTGCCAAAATATTTTGAAAAAATAAAATGCAAATAAATTAGGTAAACAAATGCACATAAAACAAGAGCTCTCATCGGAGAAAAGAAATTTTATGCATGTTCAAATCTCATATATGTATTTTTCTCACGCGTCTTTTTCAGCATGTGTGAGAGAGAAAACAAAAAAGATTTTTTTTCAATTTTTAGCCCCGCAGGCGAAAATTTCCAAAATTTTAAGGAAAATTTAATTTTTTTAACCAAAAAATTTTAAGTTTTTAAAGCACAAAGTTCCAAAATAAATTCGAATGAGAGCCCTGCATAAAACAAAAATAATTTAATCGAAAGTCAATGAGAAACTATTCACAAAAAGAAACTTATGGTTTAGGTATCCTTTTTTAGCCACGTCCTTTTTTCCGTTTTCCATAGTTTTTCAATTCAGCTGAAGATGTAGAAAAGGTTAGTGAAGAAATAGATTAACTCATCGAGCTGAGTTTAATGACACCAGAATCTGTCCTTGATCTCTGGGAAGAAGTACAGGAGTCAAAATGTCATTTTGAGACAAATATGATTCTAAACACAGAATTACCGGAAAACACTAAAAATACCGGGACCATTATTTAAAAATGAAAAAGGAAAAAGGGGCGTGTCCAAAAAAGGATACCTAAACCATATAAGATCTCATAAAAATATAAATTTCATTAAGCAAGAAATTGATGAGGAATTGTTTCGTCATCATCAAATAATAACCTGATCAGTTCTGGATTAAATCTATACCCACCATAAGGATATTTAAAAGCACATCCAAATATATGTGTAAACCAACAACGAAGTGTAACAAGATCCTTGATATTTTTTGGAAAGGCTGGCAAATTTAAGAGAAGATGGACTTCATCCTCGATTTTTTCAAGTCTGATAAGAATTGGCCACTGATTTATTGAATGATGTAAATACAACTGAATTGATTTAGCTAATGCTGCATTCCACTGAAAAAAATTAAATGTAATTTTATTAAAAATTAGTTCAACCTTCTTCCTAAGTTGATCATTTAATGTAAATTTAAAAAGTCCAGATTGAAGGTTAATCATTTTAGCGCTTTGAAAGACTTTATCACTGAGTATTACATTTACAAGTCGATTGAATTTCTTCTTTGCCAATTGTTCTTCATGTTTATTAATTAAATTGCAAAAGTAAAAATTGGTTTGTCTTTGAGAAAACAATTGGTTGAAATTAAGGCATTTTAATATATCAAGTCGAACATCATTTGGAAGAGAAAACATTGGATCCTTTACCTAAAAAAGAGTAAATAAAAAATTATAGAATTTATTATTTAAAAGTGGAAAAATTGGAAGATTACTCAAATTTCATTTATAAAATTTCAAGCACGCAAAAATGAGGTCTGCACTTTTATTCCGCAAAGTTCGGGTACGCGAAATGCTGTTCCGCAAAGTTCGCGCCACAAAATTAAGCATTAAAAATAAGAACAATTTTTCTACTACTCACTGGCAAATAATCATAATGTTGTTGTTCAATTGCTGTAGAGGTAGAAGGAATGCATGAAATTGTTTGATTAATTTGAGGAGCTTTCACCAAAACCTAAAAAATTAAATTTAATTAAATCTATAAATATTATATACTTTAAAAGGTGATCCGAGGATCGGAGTACCAATAAAATTAACATTTATTGTGTAAAGACCAGGTGATTGGACTGTGTATCTGAATTGGAAAGTTTTAAGTTGTTTTAATTAAAATTAGTATAAGCGAAAAAAAAACGAACTCGACTTGATAATTGTTTTCACGTAGATGCTGTACAGTTCGAACTTCAGCCTTTTTGGGTCCATCAATTAATACGGTTAATTTTCCACCACCCAAATTTTTTGTATAGCTAACAGTAAATTTATTTGGGCGGGCAAGTACGCCAACAGTCAATCCTGGACCATCCACCCAAGCCATAAAAACACGTTTATCAGCTAAAAATTTGGAAAAACACAAAGTTACATGAGTAAAAAATTGTCAGAATGTTGAGTTAAAAACTCTATTATACAAGGAAAAGGCCAAAACGTGGAAAGGTCAAGACACAAACAGAAAAAATGAGGTCGGACAAAACGCGGTATTACAGGTGTTACGACAAATTCTCGTTTTGTTCTCCGAGGGGAGAGGCATAAGTGCCGCAAAACTTTTTTTCAAAAATTAAAAAAATCATACAATTTTTCATTGCAAGATTTGGTGGAACATCCTGATCAATATATTCCAATCGTTTTATCTTTAAAATGTTAGAATTATTATTAAAAAAGCTAAAAAGAAAATAATTCAGAGGTCCCCGGTACTTCAACAAAGCTTAATTTATAAAACATTAGTCGCAAAAGGCTGGATCTCAGAGGGAGGGGGAGGCAAACCCGAAATTTGTAAATTTTGGATTCGAAAAGTTGAACAAAAAATTAAAATTTCTCGAAAATATAAAATTTTTTTGCAGATATTTTTGATGTTTGAATACGCCTCGTAGCACAGAAATCTTACCAAATCACACGTGTGATCAGCACACAAAATGTAATTGTTTTGAAATTCTCTTAAATAACCATTGCATTTATATAATTTATTTGAAATTTTTGAGCAGCTCCATACTCCTTTTTTTTTTAAATTATATGTGAATTGGCCGTGTATGATACTCCTATTGCTTTTCGTATTTGGGGCAAAGAAAACCCATTCATTTAGTCTAAAATAGAAAAGATAAGCTCGACAACCGAAAACCAAAAAAACCTCTCAACACATTCCTTGCGACGTTCAACCAAAAAAGAATCAAAGCATTCCAAGGCATATTTTGAATCAAAACGGACAGAAAATTTAGCCTCGTATTCGGTATGGTCAATACAATTTGATGGCAGCTTTAAAAGATGTTTTTGACCTTGAGGAGCAGATACATAGTAAAGCTGAAAAATTGAAAGGAAAATTATAAAAGCGAAAAGCAATGGGGTAAATCAATAGAAAAAAGCAAAACTACTATCAATAAATACGAAAAATGAGCCGGTCTATGGATTCGGAAAATAAAAATGCAAATAGAAAAAATGAAAAATCCAGATCAGGGTAAAGGTATCGCTCATTACCCCATAAAATGCTCTGATTAAGAGAGAAATATCAGATGAGCTCTTTCGAATAAGCTAGTACTTCCAAATTCAAATTTTTGACCCCAAAAAATCGGGCTGGTCTTCTCGACGGATTTTCAATTTCCAGGGGTTTGCAAATCTTGGGGAAAAGCTTGCTATCCGTATTGGCACATTTTAAGTATCGTCGTATCATTTTAAACATTACAAATGTTTTTTAATGGGTTGATAAGCGATACCCTAACCGAGATTGGCCTCTAAAACACACTGTTTAACAGTAAAAATGGATATACAGATGGTAAGGTTCCGATAAAAAAAACCCATACCATTCGATTTGTCTCAACGAGTTGAGTCGAACGGTACCATTCTTTTTTAAGGAGATGCCAGTGGACCGTGAACTAGGTCCCCGAAAATTGAAAAACCATAGGGGGAGTATGAGCAATTATTTGTATAAAATTTTTTTATTCAAAAATCGCCCCTTTGGATCTTCTTATTTTAAGGCCTATATCTCAGTCCAATCAAATCGGATTTTAATGATTTTTATGTCATTAGACTTACAATCAGCCCGATAAGCTCTTTCGAAAGAGCTATTATTCAGGAAATCGGATTTTCACCCCAAAATGGAGTTTACTCCCACCTACGGTTTTTCGATTTTTGGGGCCTATATCACGCCCCACAAGCATCTCCGAAAAAAGAGTGGGACCGTTCGACTCAGCTCGTCGAGACGAATCGAATGGTATGGGTTTTTATCGGAACCAAAACTCGGGGATACTAAACTACAGCCATAAAAATAACACCACAAAATAAATTATAAAAAAATACAATTGGGATGTCAGTCCGACAGTGTGGGCATTGCTTTTTTTCTCCAAACACGCGGATACGAAGTGAACATTCCATACAGATCTATAAAATAAATTAGAAACATTTTCAATTAAACAAAAAAGAAACCGGATGCATGCACTCTCCAAGTCCAAAAAGATCAGAACGTTGACAACAAATTAAGCAATCGCTGATTTCCCCAATCGTTGGAATTCCAGCATGGTCTGTACGTTCCTAAAAAATTAAAAAAAATAACTGAAAGTTCAAAAGAAATTTTGAAGTAAACTGGACAGATAATAGAGGATGAGCCCAAGAAGTATGGGAAGGTCTGAGGACTCACTAGAATACTAGGAAAATTTGCCAGAAAAAACGGCGCGCGGCCATAACGGCGTAAAGCCATAACTTGCCTCAAAATTTCTGAATCTTAACAAATTTAGTGTTAAACGATTCCACTCATCGAGCTTAAGAGTTCGATTCCAAAATTGATAAACGCCAGAAATTTTCCAGCAGTTATGGCTTTGCGCCGTTATGGCCGCGCGCCTACTTGGGCGTGTCCCATTTTCAAAAACCTCTGACTTTGTTAAGGACCTTGACTTTGAGTCAAGGAAAAATCAGGAAACAATGAAAACTCGATTCTGGTTACAGAAAATCGAGTCAAAGATTCAGATCCATTCAGATCTGTGACAAAACACCTAAAAAATAAAACCTTAGTTTCAACTGGAGCAGGTTGTTGCTGGTTGTTCACACGAGAAGTTTGTCCTAATTGTTGGTTGTTTTGATCGCCTTCATGTTGATTCGTCTAAATTTTGAAATTCTACATTTATCAAGCTAAATAAATTAAAAACCTTTTGATTATTTTCTTTAGTCAAATTTTGCTGATCTTGAATATTTTGTTGTTTGGCTTTGCTTCGAGTGATCATATTTTTAAAATCAATTTTCCTAAACAGTTAAAAAAACTATAATTTTACTAGTTCTTGACTTCGAAAGGCGGGAAAAACTTAAAAGTATTAAAAAAATAGCAATAAATTGGCAAATAAAAAATAAAATGCGAATAAATTTTATAAGATGAAAATATGTAAATAGAAGTCCATAAGAAAATATTGGTAATAGTTTGAAAGTCGCCCCCCTTTTTTCCTTTCTATTTTTCCCTAGTTTTTCCCATTTTATGGCAAATTCGAAAAAGCTCACATCGATTGGCACAAAAAGTACACAACGAGGATTTAGCGTTAAAATTTTTGTAAAAATGATCAGATCTAGCCAATCATGGTATATCAAACAAAAAAACTCAAAATGGTCAGGGAAACAGTGAAAAAAGGGGGCAAATTTCAAACTATTACAACATATTTAAAAAATTAAAATGCACATAAATTATATAAAATAAGGGCTCTCATCGGAAAAAATAAATTTTATGCATACTCAAATCTTTAAATTTTTCTCACACGTCTTTTTCAGCGCGGAAGGTGAAAATTTTTAAAATCTAGAAGGCAAATATCTAAGCCAGATTTTTTTCAATTTTTAGCCCCACAGCAAAAATTTTCGAAATTTTAAGGAAAATTTAAATTTTTTTAAACAAAAAATTTTTAATTTTGTAAGCACAAAGGTAGGTGAATTTCAAAATAATTCGAATGAGAGCCCTGCATAAAACAAAAATAATTTAATCGAAAGTCAATGAGAAACTTTCACAAAAAGGAACTTATGGTTTAGGTACCCCTTTTTTAGCCACGTCCTCTTTTCCCTTTTCCATACAGTTCCTTTTACTTCTCCTTCTCACCCATCAATCAATTCAGCTAAGGATGAGAAATAGATAACTCATCGAGCTGAGTTTAATGACACCAGACTCTGTCCTTAATCTCTGGGAGAATTACATGGGTCAAAATGTCATTTTGAGATAAATATGATTCTAAACACAGAATTACCGGAAAACACTAAAAATACCAGACCATTATTTCAAAAACACAGCCCTGGGTATTGATTCAAATGGTAATTTTTATTTTGGTGAGAAAGAAAGAAAAACTGATCTTTTCTTTATTAATCTTTCTCATTGAACATGCCACAAAGAAAATTTGGGTAAAATCGAGGAAGAAAGAAGGCAAACCGATCTGTACATATTAAGTTTGATTGATAATGGAAAAGGAAAAAGGGGCGTGTCCAAAAAAGGATACCTAAACCATATAAGATCTCATAAAAATATAAATTTCATTAAGCAAGAAATTGATGAGGAATTGTTTCGTCATCATCAAATAATAACCTGATCAGTTCTGGATTGAATCTATAACCAACGTAAGGATATTCAAAAGCACAACCAAATAAATGTTCAAACCAACAACGAAGTGTAACAAGATCCTTGATATTTTTTGGAAAAGCTGGCAAAACCAAGAGAAGATTCTTTTCATCCTCTTCTATTGTTTCAAGTCTGATGAGAATTGGCCTCTCTTCTATTGAATGCTCTAAATACAACTGGATTGATTTAGCTAATGCTGCATTCCACTGAAAAAATGTAATTTAATAAAAAAGTAGTTAGTCAACCTTCTTCCTAAGTTGATCATTTAACGTAAATTCAAAAAGTCCAGATTGTCTAATAAATTCATCATTATTGCGATAGACATTGCCACTAAGTTTTAAAGTTACAAGTCGATTGAATTTCTTCTTTGCCAATTGTTCTTCATATTTATTGATTAAATTGCAAAAGTAAAAATTGGTTTGTCTTTGAGAAAACAATTGGTTGAAATTAAGGCATTTTAATATATCAAGTCGAACTTCATTTGGAAGAGAAAACATTGGATCCTTTACCTAAAAAAGAGTAAATAAAAAATTAAAATCTCCTAAAATTTATTTTTAAAAGTTGAAAAATTGGAAGATTAGGTAAAATTGTGTTTGACGGAAAAAACTTGGGGAGATCAAGCTGGTTTGTGGGGTAAAAACTTCGATTGTACAAATGTTAGCTTATTCGAAAGGCTGAAATACATCAAACAAAATCTCCATGATTGAACGTGTTATAACCATTTGTTTTTAACCCCGCGAAAAACAACCGCCGACTGATTCGTGCGTCATTCGACTCAGCTCGTCAAGCTTTCGAATGACATATATAAAATCGGATCAAAGTCCGGGCCCTCAAACAGAATTTTTCCAAAGTTTGGCTAAACTATGCCCCCTGGGGATTTTAGTTTTTTAGAGTCAATCGAAATAGCACATCAAGCTGAGCCGACTAACACAAAATTTTTTCGGAGAAACAACATTAGGCCAAAATCATACTCCTAAAAATAAAACCCATAGAGGGACAATGTGGTTTATTAAATTTCAAGTACGCAAAATTCGAATCCGCGAAATGCTGTTCCGCAAAGTTCGCGCCACGAAATTAAGTATTAGAAAAACAATTTTACTACTACTCACTGGCAAATAATCATAATGTTGTTCTTCAATTGCTGTAGAGGTGGAAGGAATGCTGGAGCAGCGGTTGACAAAGACCTAAAAAATTAAACTTAATTAAATCTATAAATATTATATACTTCAAAAGGTGATCCGAGGATCGGAGTACCAATAAAATTGACATTGATTGTGTAAAAACCAGGTGATTGGACTGTGTATCTGAATTGGAAAGTTTTATAAATTGTTATCAAAATTAGTATAAGCGAAAAAAAACGAACTCGACTTGATAATTGTTTTCGTTTAGATGATGTACAGTTCGAACTTCAGCCTTTTTGGTTCCATCAATTAATACGGTTAATTTTCCCCCACCCAAATTCTTTGTATAGCCAACAGTAAATTTATTAGGGCTGCCAAGTACACCAACAGTCAATCCTGGACCATCAGCCCAAGCCATAAAAACACGTTTACCTGCTAAAATTTGGAAAAACACTAGGTTACAGAGTAAAAAATTGTCAGAATGTTGAGTTAAAAACTCTCGATTATACAAGTGACAGGCCAAAATGTATTAAGGAAAAGACACGAACAGAAAAAATAAGGTCGGACAAAACGCGGTATTAAAGGCGGTACGACAATTGCGGATACACAACTACGATGCAACGATTGGGATTTAACATTTAGTGCTCTCTTGGTGATTTTTGTAAAATTATCAAAATATTATCAAGTTATTTAGTCCCGGCTGTCAGTTACCGAATTATGACGGTTTCCAAATCATTTCGTGACTGAGGCGACACAAAAATTTAAAAAAATCGTAAATTTTTAAAAAATTCTATATCGCAATCGTCGTCATGAATTGTCGCATACGCAATTGTGTATCCGAAATTGTCGTACAGCCGTATCACCAAAATATCTAAAAAAGGGTACAACCCGATTAGGCGCGGGCCGATTAGGCGCGACCGATTCCTTGGTTTTGAAACTTCAAGGTTTTTTAATTTTGAAAAATTTTTGTTTTTAATTCAGAATGGTCCCATTTGACGGTCGCTAGGGCTTTTTAAACCTATCAACTTTAACACAAAATGGGTCGAGGGAGAGGCATAAGTGCCGCAAAACTTTTTTCAAAAATTAAAAAAAAACATACAATTTTTCATTCCAAGATTTGGTGGAGCATATCTATCAACACATTCCCATCGTTCTATCTTTAAAATGTTAAAATTATTATCAAAAAAGTTACAAAGAAAATAATTCAAAGGTCCCCGGACTTCAACAACGTTTAATTTTAAACATTAGTAGCAAAAGAGGTTGGATCTCAAAAGGAGAGGGAGGCACACCCAAAATTTGTGCATGAAATTTTGGATTCGAAAAATTGAACAAAAAGTTAAAATTTCTCAAAAAAATAAAAAAATTTCCCCAACATTTTTAATGTATGAATACGATTTATACCACAGAAAACTTACCAAATCGCACGTGTGATCAGCACACAAAATGTAATTTTTTTGAAATTCTCTTAAATAAGCATTGCATTTATACACCTTAATTGGGTTCTTGGAGCAGCGCCAAATTCCGTTTTTTCTAAAAATATATTTGAATTGGCCGTGTATGATGCTAGTTTTGCTTTTCTTAGTTGGGTCAAAAAAGACCCATTCATTTAGTCTAAAATAGAAAAGATAAGCTCGACAACCGAAAGCCAAAAAAACCTCTCAACACATTCCTTGCGACGTTTATCCAAAAAAGAATCAAAGCATTCCAAGGCATATTTTGAATCAAAACGGACAGAAAATTTAGCTTCATATTCGACATGGTCAATACAATTTGTTGGGAGTTTTAAAAGATGTTTTTGACCTTGAGGAGCAGATACATAGTAAAGCTGAAAAATTGAAAGGAAAATTATAAAGGCGAAAAGCAATGGGGTAAATCAATAAAAAAGCTAAACTACGATCAAAAAATACAAAAAATGAGCCTGTCTATGGATTCGGAAAATAAAGATGCAGAAAGAAAAAATAAAAAATCCAGATCAGAGTAAAGGTATCGCTCATTACCCCATGAAAAAACATGTTTATAATGCAATAAAATGCTCTGATTAAGAGAGAAATATCAGATGAGCTCTTTCGAATAAGCTAGTACTTTCAGATTCGAATAACCCCAAAAAACGGCTTGGTCCTCGCGACGGGTTTTCAAGTTTTAAGGGTCTGAAAATCTGGGGGAAAAAGCTTGCTATCCGTATTGGCACTTTTTAGGTATCTCGTATCATTTTAAACATGACAAATGTTTTTTGATGGGTTGATAAGCGATACCCTAGCCGAGATTGGCCTCTAAAACACACTGTTTAACAGTAAAATAACACAAAATAAATAATAAAAAAATACAATAGGGATGTCAGTCTGACATTGTGGGCATTGTTTTTTTTCTCCAAACACCCGGATACGCAGTGAACATTTCATACAAATCTATAAAATAAATTAGAAACATTCCCAATTAAAACAAAAAATAAACCGGATGCATACACTCCCCAAGTCCAAAAAGATCGGAACGATGACAACAAATTAAACATTTGCTGATTTCCCCAATCGTTGGAATTCCAGCATGGTCTGTACGTTCCTAAAAAATAAATCGATAGAAAAAATAAAAATGAAGATATGGAGTTGACTAAAAAATATACAAGAACTAGAGATAGGAAATTCTAAAAAACCCTCGACTTTAGTTAAGGACCTTGACCTTGAGTTAAGAAAAATCAAAGAACAATAAAAAATCCATTCTATATACAGAAAATCGAGCCCTATCTCAAAATAAGGGCGGAATCGTTTTTTTCATTACCTGAAAGGAAAGCAAAAAGTGAAAGGAAAATGGAGAAAAATGGAAAAGAAAAATGGAGACGAACGGACTCGGACAGACAAAACTCGGACAGATTCGGGTCAGCGAAATACGGACGTCTGTTCGATTCCGTCCGTGCCTTATCTGACCCAAGCACGTCCGTGTTTTGTCTGTCCGAGTCCGTTCGTCTCCATTTTTCTCCATTTTCCTTTCAATTTTTCTTTTCCTTTCAGGTAATAAAAAAACGATTCTGCCCTTATTTTGGGATAGGGCCGAAAATCGAGTCAAGGAAGTAGACCCATACCGATCTGTGACAAAACACTTAAAAAATAAAACCTTATTGTTAGTTTTGACTGGATTTAGAGCAGGTTGTTGTTGGTTGTTTCCACGAGAGGTTTGTCCTGTTTGTTGGTTGTTTTGATTGCCTGGCTGTTGATTTGTCTAAATTTTAAAATTCTACATTCATCAAGCTAAATAAATTAAAAACCTTTTGATTATTTTCTTTAGTCAAATTTTGCTGATCTTGAATATTTTGTTGTTTGGCTTTGCTTCGAGTGATCATAATTTTTGAATAAAATATCCTAAACAGTTAAAAAACTATAATTTAAACACTTTTGCAAATTTTTACAAAAAACAAAAGATTCTAGTAGCAAAAGCAAGAATAATAGGAAAAAGAAATCAATTAAGAAAATGGGACACGCCCAAGTAGGCGCGCGGCCATAACGGCGTAAAGCCATAACTTGCTGGAAAATCTCTGGCCCTTATCAATTTTGAACAATCTCTTTATCTCGATGAGAGGAATCGTTTAATACTAAATTTTGAAAGATTCGGAAATCCTGAAGCAAGTTATGGCTTTGCGCCGTTATGGCTGCGCGCCGTTTTGGGCTGTACCCAAGAAAAATATGGGATCTAATGTCATTTTAATAGATTACTGTATTATTTGCAGTTCGCAATTAAATATTCGCAATTCAATTCGCAATAAGTTGAACTGTCCACTTTCAGAAAATTTTATCAAAATAATTTTTTAAAATTTTTTCTGTTCTTCTAAAAACTTTTTTTTTAACTTTTCTTTGTTTAGAATTATAAAAAGGATCTCTTGTAAAAAAATGGACGGGCATGGACACGGACATCATGGTGGGCATTGTTCAAATATAGCCACAAATTTTGAGTATCATCAACAGGGAATGCATTACACAATGGATAAAGTGATTAAACAACTAAAAAATATTAAAAATTTCAACAATTTTTAAGTTTATCAACAAAGAAAATGTTATTGTTCTCAATGAAAGTGTGGAAGGTTCTGGTGTTAAAGTATTTAAAACTTGGGCTGATCGGTTTGACAAGTGAGGTTTTCTTTTTTTTAATTTTTAATAAAATACACTTAGGTTGGGACTTTGCCGTTATCCCAACGAATTTTTAGTGGACTTTTTCGGATGGATTTAATTTTTATTTTTCCCTCATTTTCCACAGTCAAGCAAATTTTGATTTGGTGACAATGGCATAGGGAGGAAAAAAATTTATCAGGAAAAAGTTCGGGGGATGACGGAAAAGCACTAAAATAAGTTTTGTTTAATAGAAAAAAAGATTTTTAGTTCATTACCTAAACCATATTTAATGACCTATTTGCTTTTTAGTTTACTAGTGACTGGGGGTGGGAAACTGCATAAGTACCCTTTACCTCTCCATCTGAATAATTTTTTGTTAGATTTTTCTGTTTCCCAGATTTCAAATTTTTAGAGGTTTAAGATTTTTTGAGTTGCCAACTTTCTCACAACATATTTTTAATTCTGTATTGATTTATAGTATGGGGATTGTTTTTCCCTTCCTTTCTTGTCCTTTCTTCAATTTAAAAATTTTTAGAAACGATTTTGTTCACAGCGATGTTGACGAACAATTGCTTTTTTCTGTTCCTTTTACTGGTTTTTTATTTAAATTTATTCTTAAATTTTTTTCCCAAATTTAAGCCAATGTTAAACTTACGGGAATTACATTTTCTGGGCCGTTGAGTGGTTCTTTTCCGGCAACTGTTCGGCTTTATAAAGATCGAGGAAATGTTTGTTTATTTTTTTTAATTTATTGAAGTTAATTTCCTCTTATTTTAATTTCTTTTTGGCATCCACCCATTAGGACGGTCATAAAAATTTTTTTGAGCCCCATTAAAAATTTTTCTGAAATTTTTTGAGGAAAGTCTTTTTTTCATTTTCAGCCTTCCCCACATTTTACATATTTCATTTTTCCGGTAAATGTTGAGTTTACTAGTCTCTGGAAATGATCTAGAATAAATGAATTTCGATGATTTTAAGGTTATCGTTAAGGTATCGAAAACCCACTTTTTTATGTCTTCTAGGGACCAGTTGACTTTACAATTATCATTTTCCCATTTTATACTGATTTTTAGTTTCAAAAATTCCTTCCTATTTTTATTAAATTCTTTCTAAAAAATTTGTTTTTAGATGTCTTTTGATGACTGTGAAAATGCAAAAGAAGATCAACAAATTGAGTTAAAACAAGATTCTGATGCTTCTATTGACTATCCTTTGATGTCCAGTAAATTTAATTCTGTTGGCCATTTAACTCTTTATTTTCCTGCAAATTTTGGGGACGAGAAGACGATTATTCATGTTTGTTTTTTTTCTATTTTTTTTTGAAAAAAATTTTGGGGTGGTTCTTTGGGTTATTTTGATTTTGCGTTACCTTTCAGACAAAAAGCCTCTAATGGTTTTTTGTTCGTCTGGATTTTTTGGCAAATATTTTTGGGGTTTCTTTGACCAGATTCGACCTTAACCATGACCTTGAGTTAAGAAAAAATCAAAGAACAATGAAAAGTGCCTCGATCCCGACTCTGGACCCAAGAAAATTCAAGGTTCGGATTCAGATCCAAACCCATCTCTACTTTATTCCTTCAAAAAATTTTTAATTAAAAAATTTATTTTTAAGTATATTGGTCTTCGTGGTGAATTTCAATCAGAATTTCGAAATAAGGTTAATTTTTAATTTAAAAAATCTTTTTAATTCCCCAATCTTTTAAAGATTGTAATTGCAACATATGAAGCTCGCCCAGTTCCAGATGACCATAAAGCTGGATTGCGTGATATGGTGAATCATCAAGTGTGCTGATTATTTTGAATTTAAAGAGTTGAGCGTGAAAATAAAATTTTTGGGTATTGTTTACAAGATTTTTCGAGGCCTAAAAATTTTTGAAAAATTGAAAAATTTTCTGAAATTTTTTAAAAGTATATATTTTAGTTTAAGAAGCGTCAAAGATTGCTGATTAGATGTAAAAGCGTTTAAAAAATTTAAGCGGAATTGTAAAATATTATTATTTTTTGTTGCTTCAAATAAATGCTTAACTATCTTGTTTGAAAGTTAAAAAAAATTCATTTAAATATTAGCAAAACACATATATTTTAAGTAAAAATAAAAATTTGGAAACAACAAAAATTTAGAAATACCGCAAACAGGCTAAATATATGTCCATTAAAATTGCCGGTTCCTGGAAAATCTCTGGATATCCGGAACCGATAGTCGAACAGAAAATTTCCGCATACCCGGATTTTTTTTAGTTCAAGATACCTAAACCATAAACTTTTAAAGACCTCTATTTCTACCAAAAAATTTTCTCATTCATCTTTCTCCACTAAATCAAAATTATTTTTCTTTCCCATAAACATAAATTATACTTTTAATACACATTTAAAAACATGCCCATAAATTTTCTGTCGGTTTTCAATTTTATTTTTTTTGTTGATTTTTAATTTTAAAATTATTTATTCAGACAGTCCCTTTAAATATTTAATTCTCCATTTTTATTAAAAAAAATTTTTTTAAAGAAAAATAAAAATTATTTACCTGACCAACAAACAACATTCTTATATGTTGACTTACACAGACTAATCCCCTCTTTAAATTAAACAACTGTTTTGATCTAAAAATATTCGTTCGGTCACTCTTATACACGAAAATAATCATTCTAAAGCTTAATATATTTCTTGGCTATTTTTACAAATAAAAATAAATTTGTTAGTTAAAGCACTTCATTTTTCTTTTCTTATTTTATTTAATTTAAACTTAAAGCAGCCTTCCTTCCCCTTTTTTCTCCCCGCAGGCATTAAGAAGGATCAATCAATCAATGGACTTAAAACTTGAGGAAGGAGATGGTACAAAGTGAGGAAGTAAAAAGAGCAGCATTTTTGATGTCGGTTAAGTAGTAGTCTTGCATTTTCTTTAAAATTTTTTGAAAAAATTATTCACTAAAAGGCAGTTGTTTAAATAAATTAAATTATTTTTGAGCTTTTTTAACACCTATAAACTGCCAAAATTGAATACTGCCATGCTAACTGCCAAAAATAACCAGCAGCTTATACCGACTAAAAATTCCGGAAATCTTGATTCTGAATTGTTTAAAGGAGAAACTACAACAATCTCTACAATTGCAGTACGTGCTGAGCCTCATTCTACTTTAGTTGTTGCCTTATTAAAGGTACTACTATATTCAAATTTTCTTGCCCGATGTTGGATTAATAATGATTAAGTGTTATAGGAATAATATGAAGATTATTAACGTAGTTAATAGATAAAGGGCATGCCCCCTCTATTATAAGGGTACCGATGCCCTTCTATGAGAATAAAAATGCCGTTCTATTGGAATAATTTAAAAATCACAGAGCATCAATTACGTTGATTTCCGCATTGATGAAATGCAACCCGGCCTTTTAGAAATTGGTAAAAACCCTCAGGACAACACTCAACTGTTGCTAATACACACGGATTTGTTTCAAAGATTACTAGAAAAACATCAACAAGTAAAAATATTTTTGAAAATTTTTTTGGATTTTTAAATAATTAATAAGGTAGATGATTTACTTGCTCGAGCTGAGCAAATAGCTAGTGAACAGACTGAAGTTAGTGATGTAATAGTTTATGAGGCAATGGCTAATGGGTTGGCTACTGCTTGGAGGGGTTTAAGCAGGTAATATTAAAATTAAATTTTAAAATTAAGTCCCTCAATCCCATGGAAAATACTCAACATCTAAAAATCTCACATAACATTCATCCCATATACACACTTTATATCAAACAAAAAAATATTTAAGGCAACTAGAGATGCGTGGGTACATTTTATCTGATACAAAAAGATTGTATGAATTAGCATTAAAACAAGAAGAATTAGCAAAGTTGCTCAATTCCCGACTTCAATCAACTAAAAATGTTAAAATTGACTCGCATGAAACGATAATTGACGGCAAGTCAGCTTATTTTGCGTTAGACCCTAGTTAATAAAGATAGCCGTTATAACCCCAACCCGTAAGTACTAAATGATGATTTGTATTCTTATTAGTTAGATTTGTGAATAAACTTCCTTAGGGATGGATTGTTGGTATAGTGGTTTATATACTTGAGGGGATATAATAAGGGGGTGACCTCAATAACTATTAAAATTAACATAAAAATATTCAAGTTTAAAAAATTTTGTTCAATTCTTTTCAATATATTTTTATTTTTGGACTAATATAAAATGCTCTTTATGCACTGATTACTCTTTAAAATAATAAAAATCAATCGTGAAATTTGCGAAATAAAAACAAAAAATTTAACAAACAAGGCTATAAAATTTATTATTTAATTTTTATATCAACCCTCGCAAACTTTCCTCGCAACATAAATTAAAATAAATTTCTTTTTTAAAAAATTTCAGAATTAGGTGAATTAACAAGTGAAGGAATGAGTGTTGGATCTAATTTGATTACTCAAATACGGCTTCTTGGATCTCTTTCAGACAATGATCAACGACCGAGAGAGACTTACGAGGCTTGTTTGCGTATAGAAAAAGTCATGTTAAAGTAAATAAATTTTTATATTATGGGCGGGCATCGCCATACCAATTAATCGGGTAGTCGTGATCAACACCTTTTACCATAGGAAAAAGCAGAAAAGTACCAAGATTTCCAGTTCAAAAGGGGTATATTATAGTGAGCATGGGTCTCTCGGAAATGAAAAGATATCGGAACTCGGAACTGTCGGAAATAGGAAATTGCTTAAAAATCAGAACTCGAAAGCACGCATTAATGTTCGGAACTCGGAATTCCGATCGACCCTTGATAATGATTGATATAAATTTCCTTACTAGAATGGCAGAAAGTTGGGAATTACTAAATGAGGCATTTCGCAACTTAAAAAATATTCCCGAACAACCTCAACTTTTACCTTCACATATAACCCAAACTATAGAATCTAAACAAATTCAACAACAAATAACTAAAAATTTTGATATTGAAATTCAAAAAAATCAGTTGGATAATGCAGAACAATGGTTAATTGAAACTAGACGAATGTTTGAAAGTATGGAAGAAAGCAAAATTTTAAAAACACTTGAAGAACAAACTAAAGTATGGTCGTGAATTTCTATAATTAAAGAAAAGATAATCAGAGGGGATAGTTCAAAATCCTTTTAAAAGGGGCTTATTTAACCATACAATTCTTCAGCAAGATAATAACGTTGATGTCGGGGAGAGTAATGCCAATAATTTTTTTTCAAATTCGACTTTATTAGGAAGTTTTAAATAGAATAATAACGTTGGCTATACTGATTGTCCTTGTTATAGCTCATAAAACTTACAAAAAATTTTTAAAGGAAAAACTGGAAGAATTGAGAACATTTTGTTTAACTGAAAATTATTCAGAATTCGAATTATTAAACAATAAATTACAACAACAATATATCAAACTGATTGATGATATGAATATAAAAATTGAACTTTTGGAAAAAACTGAAAATTGGTATTTGAATGCTGATAATGTAGGTCTTAAATTGTTAGGGAAATACTGATCAAAGTAGTTTCTAGAACTAAGGAACTAAAAATCACTGAAATGATTGCCCCCTAATTTTGGTCATACAATTGATAACAAAAATTTTATAAGCAATAGGCTTGACACAAGTCAGGTATTACGATCACCAGTCAGGTATCCCAAACGGGATTTTTTAACGGTGGCATTTTTGACGGTATTTAGATTATTGAAGGGATTACCTTCCAGATTTTTAAATAAAATATTTAAAAGTATATCCTTTTATTAAAATACTAAATCTAATCTCTCTTGATCGAATAATTTATTTAGTAATTAATCATTCCTTAAAAGTAAAATTATATTACATTTATGGAAGAGAACACACTCATTTATTAAATTCCTTCTTTTGAATAAAATCATTAAAAAATCTAAAAAAATTCCCAATCACCTTATAGTTAATCTCTCAACTCGAAAAAATGTTGGGAGAATTAAACATTGCCAATGAATCAATGGCTGCAGAACTTGGACCCCTTGCACAGCAAAAAGGTGTTGTACTTGTAGAACAAGGGGAACAATTAATTCTACAATGGAAGGGAGAAAATAAAGAGGAAATTTGTGTTAATCAAAATATTTGTGAGAGAATTGCTCAAAAAGTTCAATCACTTAAAGAAGCTGTTATTGCTGTTGTACAATTGGCTAGAGAGAAGATTGGGGCTAGTAAAGCTCAGAAAATTGTTGAAAAGGTGAATATAACTGTAAACTTTCTTCATAAGGGCATATTACGTACCCTAAGATTTCTGTGGAACACACCGTTTCCTCAAGGTTGATCGGGGTTTGAGCTGACCTTGGATGGGCTTATAACGAAAATACCTTCTAAACAGGCTTCTGACAGGCTTCATTAAAAATTTTTAAGCTAATAATATTGGACAAATGGCTCAATTCTGTTGCTAATCCATTCTTATCTGAATCACTCATTCTGAGTCCAATAGCTGCTGAAACAACTGAATTCACTGCTAAACATAAAAGTTTTCTGGCAGAAATAACGGTGAATCTAATTAAAATTTATGAAGGTTTGTTAAACTTTAGGAAAATGAAAATCTTCTCAAGACAATCCAAAATCACCAAAAACATTTGGATTCCAACCAACTCGAACAGTTAATAAATATTCAAAGAAAACTGATTTCTTATAAAATAATAATTGAAAAACGATTGGAATTGGCTTCAAAATTAGAACAAGTTTTGTTTAATTAGATAGAAAACCACTTAAATTCCGTTATTTTCAGTTACAAAAATTAGGACGTGAATTAGAAACTTCACTTCATTTTCTTGCCACTTTATTGCAAGGTGGTGGATATAGACCAGAAACAGAACAACACGTTAATAATTTATTACAAACAGTCAAGGAACATTGTATAAGGGAGAAACAACAATGTTCGTTTATTCAAAGTAGAGTAGCCTCTCTGAGTAAAACAAACTTAATGTCTTACTCACTGATCTTGTGGGCGAAGGAGTGAATTCAAAGAATGCTTCTTCTCAGAATCCGAGGAATAATGAAACGGAAATTCTGTTCTAGGCACCAAATTCGATGCTTATCCCTGGGCAAATGAATCCTCTCGGATTTTCAAACCAAATAAATTCCAGGGATTTGGCTTTCAAAATCCTGAATCTAATCAGGATTTGAAAAAAAGCCTGTATCAAAATCCAGCCTGAGGCTCCAGAGTTCTTCAAAATTTACTATTAATTTCATTTTTAAGCCGATAATTTTCAACGATTGGCTTCTGAGCTTGAACTAAATGATCCTAACTTAGTCACAATCGAGGCAATAGACTGGTCACGCTCTCAAGTTGTCTCACATCAACGTCAATATTCTTTATTTGAACAACAATGCCAACAATTTATGAATTTTAAAGAAATTCAATCAGAAAATAATTTTAAAAAACAAAATATACAACAACCTTTAATAAGGACTATCAAAGAAAATAAACAAAAAATAATTAATGAATTGGGTGAATATAATAATCAACAAGCAAATTTAGTGCAAAAAATAAATATTGAAAATGGTGATTGTCAGAGTTCTAAAGTGCCTCCTAGCATTGGACCACCTTTATGCAGTCAGTTAGTGCGTGAGGGACAAACTGTAGTTCTTAAGGTGATCTTATCTTGGGGAACTTTTGAGGGCTTTAATCTATGTTTTCTGAGCCGTATTCTTAAAGCTATCAGTCAGATCTCTCTATAAGAGACTCAGTACTTCAGTATTAGTTACACCCCAATTTACGAACAGGATGTTTTAAATTTGGCTAGCCACTAAATGGATAGAGCTGATAAATGATATCCCCTATTTAATATACGTTCATTATAAGCCTTTATCTTATACTTTATTAACTTTACAGACTCGCATACGAGGTACTCCTTTCCCAAGCGTTCACTGGTTCTATAATGACTGCCCTATAGACTTTGAAAGATCAGATATTGGATTGAGTCGTCATCAAGATGGTCAATGCATACTAACCATTCCTCGGTTTTGAAAATTATTTTCTTCTTAAAAATCCAATTTAAGCGTATTAACTGAACATGCGGGTCAATACAGCATTAAGGCTGAGAATATAGCGGGTAGAGCAACTTCCACAGCTACTTTGAACGTTCTGCTGGGGATAGGCAGCCCAGCTGCACCTTCTGGTCAATTCCAATTTCCTTCTTCAATGAAACAGCAAAATAGGCAACAAGGTCCAGTCTACGCACTGATTAAATCAGAAGGTTCTGAATCGAGAAGAGCAAGTGATGGAGATATTATAGATCCTGGTGAGTAAGATGACAAACACTTTCTTCTTTATTCCAGAATTCTGATGTATACTTGTAATTATTTTAAGGCTATTCCAGCCTCGCTAATCCACCGGAATGCTTCCGCCCCTTTCCTTCAGAAGTGACCATTAATGAGGGAGAGAAAGCTGAAGTTGATTGCATGATATTGGGCAATCCGAGGCCTAAAGTTCAATGGTTTTTTAATGGACGGCAAATTAAATCTAATGCCGAATTTGTCGAGCTTTTAAATGTTGGCGATACCTACTCACTTCGTTTTAATTCCGCTCGTTTGGAATGTGCCGGTTGGTATCGGCTTGTTGCAGAAAATATTCGTGGTCGTTGTGAATCGCTAACGCTGATACATGTTCGCCCAAAATCATTAATTCCAAAGCCTATTGGAAATAATAATCAAAGGGCTAGACGTTCAATTGGCGGTGTTCAAGGATTATTACAATGGCAGAAGCAAAGGCAGCAATTGGTGATTAATCACTCAATTATGTAGGAGCTCCTAACGCCAATTTATATTTAAGCTTGAACAACACCAAGCTAGAGCTTTAAGTACTCCTCCACGTCGTGATTTTGAAGCCAAAAGACATTCAACCTCCTCAGCCCATGCCGAAATGATGGGGATTATGTCAACTTCGGATTATGAACCTGATAGAAGGCAATCAGGATTGGAGGTAGTTTATCGGCAAAATTTATAACACAGTATTTCTAAAAATACATAGATATTTGTCAACGGATTTACTGGCAATGGAGCAACAGAAATACATAATTATTCAGATATTAACAGACCTCCTTCTAGTGATCAAGAACGAACACTTATCCTCTCCCCAAGAATTATTCAGGAAAATAATTTTGATGTGTCCCCTCCTCATTTTACTAAAACATTAGTTTCTGCAATTGGAAATGAGGGACAAAATGTAAAATTTGAAGCAGTCGTCATTGGTTCTTAATTTTTTAAATTAACGCCAAATTTATGCGCGCCGAAAATGCCGCATAAAAGGAAAAGCGGATGTTAGTTTTTCCACTGTTGTCTATTGTCATTTCGGCGCATGAAAATTTGGCGCAAAAAAATTTTTTTATGTATCAAAAATAATTATGATGTGATAACAAAGATAATTTTATATCAAGGTGATCCTTTGCCTCGAGTTGTGTGGTCTAAAGATGGGAATATATTGAAGTCGAATGAACGAATTTCTATCTGGAATGATAATTATGGCAAAACAATACTCAATATAAATAATATTTATAGTAACGATGCTGGCAAATATTGTTGTACAGCAGAAAATAAAGCAGGAAAAGCTTGCACTTCTGCTCAACTTGTACTTTCTGGTAAGTTCAATAAATTGCACCCCAAGGAAATGTTAATAATTGGGTGTATAATCGTTGAGAGGCTAAATCCTATTGAAATATTGTCTAAAAAGGTGCTTGATTTAAGATAGGGATAGGTCCCCAAAGTATTCTATCCGAAAATTTTTAATTATATAGCCAAAATGATTGCTCCTGATTTTGTTGAACGCCTGGTAAGCCAAGAAGTTGAAATTGGCTCTTCACTCTTCTGGACGGTTAGAACTAGTGGAGATCCTGAACCTTTAGTTAAATGGTTTAGAGATGGAATTCCAATTTCTACAGAGTTTGGAATTAAAAATGGTATTCAAACAACTAAAGTAATCCTAATTTTAAAGAAATTTATTCAAAGAAAATAAATTTTTAGGACGCCCCATTTATCTATTCCCTCAGAATTGAATCCCTAAATGTTGTACATGCAGGCCAATTTACCTGTTTGCTAGAGAATATTGCAGGGGAAGCTAGGAGCACAGCCGATTTGGTTGTTAGACCTAAAGGTGCACCTCCTGGGAAGGTAAAAATTGAGGGAGAAATTTTTTTTAGAAAATTTTTAACTTAAAGTATGTTCACGTAACCAAAGTTACACAGGAAAGACAAGAAAATGGGGTAGCCAAAAATGAAGTAGTTATTTTAGAAAACAACGAGAATAATCATTTTTAGTTTAATAATTTTTGTAAAAAAATTTTTTTTGATTCTAAAATAAAAACAAAACAAAAATTATGAAATAAACAAAAATATTTTTTGAAAATTTAATAGAATAGGCATTATTAGAAGGCTCATCCAAGACAGATTTTAACAGTTTTTGAGGTTCCCATTGCTCACATTCTGTCCATTTTGTGTCTAATTGTAGATTAGTGTTACCGAACCAGTCGAGGAGCATTTGGAGAAGTGCACTTTAATTTTATAAATTTTCTTAAGGAGCAGGTTAGAGACACAGAGTAAGTTACACTTCTCATGCCAATGTTTCAATTTTAGGGTATCTCAGATGAGTTAATTAGAATAGTGAACGCTTTAACTATAAATTAGGGCAACTTAACCTTCCAACTAATTTTTCCAGATACTTTACTGATAAATCCAAAAACTTACGCAGATATTTTTGCGTTGAATCTAACAAAAAATGGAATTGTTCTCCGATGGCAAAGTTTGGCAATAGCCTTAAGATGGCAATCAGCATAGCTATTCATTGCCCTTATTTAAGAGAATATTTCTTCAAATTTTTTCCTATTTATCTACCTACACAATCGTTGGAATCCATCATCTTCCTCATTTTTATCAATTTCGGAAGGGTCATATCCATTATATAAAAATTGTCGTTGACTAATAGTCTCGTAAACATCACTTTCCATTAAAGACCAATGAAGCTTTAAAATTAATTTTAAGAGAGTTTTAAAGTTGAATTGAAACTTGACAACTCTTTCCAATACGTAGTCCATTCCTTACAAGGCAGGGTAGAACAAAATTTTGAAATTCTTTGTCGATCCGAAAGCTTTGACAGATTGCCTTAAAAGGAACACAGGGGAATTATTTTAGCATATACAGGAACTAAAATTAGTACATTCATTGCTTGTTGCCCATCTGCAATGATTTGTCGAGCTATAGAATGTTGGCATTTACGAATGCATGACAGAAAACTATTGTGTTTACTAGAAATTTTCGAAAAATTTTTGAATAATTTTTTTAATAATCTACTCGCAAGCAGCGGCAATTCTATCTAATGGAGATTTATTTTCTTCAGTTGAGATAATTATATCTATCTGTTGTTATTGAATAAATAGAAGAATTTTATTAATCAATTTATGGTTTCTGGTTATGGTTCTCCTAAATTTATGGTTCTCCTAACTGATTTATCTGATGTCCCCATCCCCGAATCTTTGCTTAACCAGCTCCCTCGTCATTACAAAATTATCAAAAATTTTTAAAAACAAACTAGAGCATTTAGAGGTGACCCAACTGCAAAAGTATCCCTTCTGACAGCCTTAGTATTCGTTGTTGTGTAAAACATCTAATAAATTTTATATAGACTAAGTCCCTAATATTAATTTACATATTCATCCTTGCAACGCAACAAGCATGGATCTGCATGTGATTTTTCTCGCAAAGTTATAGGTGAAATAATGGGAGATAGATCATTTTCATTGGATTCTCTAGTGCTTTTTCGTGATGTTTTATTCTAAAATATTAATTACACTCGGACCTTAATTTTAGATACACCCTTTGGTCCAGATTATTCATAATTGTCAGGCTTTCTATCCAACTTAGCGTATTTTCCCGATTAATTCGCTGAGGATTGATATTTTGACACATTCATGGATGGGGAATTATTCGAGATTTGAAGGGGTTCAACCCTCCTGGCAATCGAGAAAATACGGTTCACTACCCAGTGTCCAAACAAATTTTTAGAATAACTTTAAATTAAGGGTGTTCTATAAAATCGAGGCCTGGCGTTTTAAAAATACGTGCCTCTTTAAAAAATTGAAGGTTACTTTCATTTGCTTCAATATACTTTAATATTAACAGTAACAATAAAAAATAAAAATTCATTTAAATAAAATAGTGATTATTAAAAATATTTTTGGCCTCCAAAAAATATTTTTGCAAATTTTGGAGTCTAAAAGAGTTGTGTTAAAATTAAAATAAATTTATTTGTATATTTTTGTTTTCTCATGGGAATTATCGCGGCTTAACACAAACCTTGTTTTCACTTTAAAAATTGGGTAAAGTGCCAGCGGGTAAGAAGGATTGGCAAAAAATGGCAAAAAAGGATGAGCATTTTAATAAATTTATTTTTACATAAATTATTAATATTTTAAAAGTTGTTAAATAAAAAAATTTGGAAAAATAATAAAATTATTTGGAGGTAAAAATTAATTATTAGTGATCAAATTTGTAAATATCAATTTTCTAAATGTTTTAGTAAAAAAATTCATTAGTCATTTAAACAGTCGAAAATTTTAACCATTCATTTTAATTTTATTAAATTTTTCGTTAATATTTGTGTGTAGTTGAAATTTGTTTGTATTTTTGTGAAAATTATTGAATTTTTAAAATTATTTTGGGAATATATAGAATGAATTTAGCTAAGTTTACCCATCGGGCAAACTTTTGCTACCTCCTTGCAGTTATTGCTTGGTGCTTTCGCTCACCGCATTAAGAGCTCCACCATTGAGCTACCGGAGAGAACTAGTAATGCCTTCTTCCTTTTAGATCGTTTAATCTCTGCTTAAGCGTTTTAAATACTGTTAGGTGAATATTCCTTACAATATAAACCCCAATGTCAATGCTAGAACCATCTTCAAGACTGGCAATTTTACATTAAGCAAAACTCGATACCCAAAAGTTTTTAAACCCTCCGGCTTATTTTTAAATTTCTTTCCAACCTTTTAATAATAAAATAATAATTCTCAAAAATTAAATTTTTTGTTCAAATAAGAATTTTTTAAACTAAAAGTTTATCAATAGGAACAAAAAAGAGAAACAAACAAAACTAGATTTTTTAAATAAAATTATCAAATAGATCCTTCAGCGTAATAATTTTTTATTTTTGTTTTGTTTGACGAATTAAATTGAAAAATAAAAAATAAATTTTTAGTAAATTTAAATTTTAAAAAAGAGAGATAATTAGTCAAAAATTATTATTTTACAAAAAGGAAGAAATAATTAATAAATATTAATTAATCTTTAACTAATTAATTAATTAATAATGCTTTTTTATCCATCAACTATAACTATGATATTAATTTTATTATTGTTGAGAGAGGAAGAAATGCTTAGAGCTAATGAAGTTGGTTTTAAATTGTAGCAGACATGGTCATTTTAAAGGACCGGATTTGAGTTACACCGAAATATAGTACCTCAAAATATCTCGATCTTGTTAACCGGGATATAGAAAACAGATCTTGTCTTGATGCTTTATAAAGGAACCTTTTTTGCAATTGGGACCCATGCATGGCCTATAAGGTCTTTAAAATATATAATAGGTCTTGCATGATACGATTGGGTCCACTATCTGAGCTACTATCTGGTACAAATCTATCCATTCTATTTTCTGATAGATAATAAAAATATCTCTTTAAAATTTAAACATTTTATTTTCCAGTCAAAACAAAATATTCGAGTGAAACGAGCTGATTGCTACAAATACAAAATTGAAACAGAACGTTGCAAACATCCAAGTTGCGCAGACTGTCCATTAACTTCCGCAACTATATACCCTCCAGGATGGGCTGAATGTTGTTATTATGATGGATGATTGTGAATTTATTGGGATTAATAAAATATAAAAAATAAAAAAACGCACTCGTATTGTTTTATTATATTTTTCTAATTAAATGTATATCTGGGTAGAACTATTTTAAATTTAAAAAATTTAAAATTTATTGTAATTTAAATTTCAATCAAAATAAATAACAATCAACCGCAGCATCTTTTATTTTTATTAAAATTGTTTCATTTTCAATTTGATTGACTATTTTGATTAATTATCAAATTTATTTTCCATTTTGGCCCACATATTTTCCTTCTTTATTCTTACATGGAAGGGCAAAAAGTTTATGTTTCTGATTCTGGGTTCGGTTTTTAAAGAGACAAAGTCTCGGTATATTTTGCCTAAAGTCCTGAATATTGTGATTATTTTCAACTGCCTGGGTCCCGAGTCATAAATAATTTTTCTGTTATTTATAAGCCTTTAAACAGCTGTTTTTAAAAAAAATTAATAAATTGTATTTTTACTAAGACTTTTACTAATATTTTCCTCCTCAAAACTTTTAAACCACCGTTTAAATTAAATTAATTAAAAATTATTTAAATATACTAAACGTAATTTTAGTTTTATAGAATTAAATATTATTTATTTCTTAATAATTTTTAATTAATTTGAATTTAAACTGTGGTTAAAAAGTTTTGAGAAAGAATATATTAGTAAAAGTCTTAGTAAAAATATAAAATTTATTAATTTTGTTTAAAAAACAGCTGTTTAAAGGCATATAAATAAGTGAAGAGTCTAAACTGTAATTATAAAATTATTCTAAATTTTAAAAACCCTTCCAAAATACTACAATAAGAATGTCTTCTTCAACTTTTTGCTTTTTACTTGTAGTTGCTTTAATTGCACAAATTGTGGATTTGGCACCTGCACCTGATCTTGCTCTTGATCAGGTATTTGTTATCAATAAATTTTATAATTAGGCATGGATTTAATGAAATAATATTAACTGCCTCAGGGCATTCTCTAAGTACTTCAAAAATTTAACAATTTAATGCTATTCCCTTTTTATACGTATAATCATATGTATTAATTCCCGAAGATATCGGACGGGTCAATATCGATATCATAAATTTATTTCAGGCAAAACAATTTCGTGTTAAACGAACTACTTGCTACAAGTACAACATCCACTCGGGAAATTGTGGTAATCCAAGATGCCCAAGTTGTCCAGCTTCATCTTCAATGTCTTCTGGAAATCCAGACTGGGCCGATTGTTGTTATTAAGATGGATGTTTTTAATTTTGGAAATTAATAAAGAATGGATAGATATGAAAATAATAATTTCCAATAAAATATTTTTAACTTACAAATAAACTTAACTAAAAGATAAAGAGATATGTATATACAATATTCATTCGTAAATACATTTTTTTAAAATTTTACAGACCAATGGGTTTGGTGGGCTCCCTACGTGATGACATTATTATGTCCAAGGTAAGTATCAGGGGTGCAGCTCGTCTCGTATCTCGTGAAATCTCGTTCTCGTATTTTCTTGAGAATCTCGTATCTCGTATTTTGTGGCACGAGCCGCACCCCTGGTAAGTATTATGTCCAAGGTAAATATAAATTTTTAATAGTAAATAAAAAGTTATTAGTTTATGAGCAATAGATTTTAATAGAAATTTATTTTAATAATTCCAGTCAAATCAAATAAGAGTCAAAAGCAGCATTTTTTAAAATTTGTATTTTAATTTTTATTTAAATTTTTATTACTAAGAATGGAAATTGCTTCTCTTTTAATTTTATTTTGATTAATTACTATATTTATTTAGTTATTATTTCGCGAATAAAAATTTATTTTGAAGGGGCTCCCCAAAAACTATTCAAAAATAAAAACAACAAGGTAATAAATTATAGAAAATATTTTACTGACAGCCTAAAAACGCCAAAAACTTGCTTTGTTTGCAAACAAGAAGATTAGTAATAAAACGCAACTTAATAAATTGAGCAATTTTTTAAATAATAAAAGGGCAAAAATTAATAGAGCAATTCATCGAGAAAAGTGAAAAAATAATTTTAGTTTGTGTCCAAGCATAATTTTTAAAAAATGCAAAAATACTCCCATATTTAATTAATTATCTAAATTTTTATAAAAAGTTGTAAAGGAATGTCTTACTAAACTCTCAAAAAAATTTTAAATTTTGCTTGAAAAAATAGCTGCTTGAAAGGCCTATAAATATGTGAAGAGGTTACGCCTAATAACCATTAAAATTTAATTTTAATTTATAAACTTGCCCTCTAAAAAATAAATTAAAAATGTCTTCCTCAGCTTTTTGCTTTTTAATTGTAGCTGCTTTACTTGCAGAAATTGTGGTTTCTGCACCTCCACTACGCGCTGACCAGTGAATCTTTATGTGGAATAATAATAATAATTTAATTTTAAGTATGCGAGTAAAGAGAGGTGATGCAGGCCGGTGGTTGCTGCCGCTCCTGTTGTAGCTGCTCCAGCCTATTATTATCCCTACTATGCTCCGGTATTTATTATTAATAAACTTAGAATCGGGAAATTAATTTTATGGGGCTTGCGATTAAGTCTACATTCGAATCTCGATATAAGGAACTAAAAGGACCGTCTATCAAATTCATTATCTCAAGCAATCCCTTAAATCAAGAACCATTTAGGGAGAAATCTTAGCCAGTAATTTAATTAATTTCCAAATAAACCCTTTAAAAAAGGTTGCACCAGCAGCTTCTAGCTTTGTTTCTGGCGGAGGCGGTGCTGGAGGCGGTGGCATTCAAAGCGTAATTGGTGGAGGCTATGGACATTCTGGATCTTCGTTTGTATCAGGAGGTGGGGGTTTGTATGGAGGTGGGGGAATACAAAGTGTTATAGGAGGACGTTGAAGACTGAAGGAGGACTGAAAAATTTGATTAATGCTACAAACTACCATTTACTTTTATTCTAGCTTAGAAAGAAAAATTGATAGAAACGATAATTAAATTAATTTTTAAAGTCAATTCATAAATAATTTTATTTATTTAGATTTGAATTTTAATAAATATTCATATAAATTTTATTTTGTTATTTGTTAGGGTCAGTTAATTTTCAGAAACTTAAAGAAATCTAGAAGTGTTCCTATAGATTCTTCCAGGGCTGGCAATCCTTATACAATATAAACTTATTTTCCATTATTTAATGTTTTTTAAAATACAATTATAAATATTTAAATGTGGAAGTTATAAAGTGAAATAAATAATTTAAATATTCCATTGTAAATAAATTAAAGATTATAGCCAATCTTCTATCCAAAGTTTCAATTTTAAAAAATATTAAAAATCATATATTGTATTATATCTTATGGTATATTGATTGGGACAACATCAGGTTATCTTGGGATTTTTCATGATTCGCCAGCCCTATTTACAGTCAACCAGGGTAGAAGTCTAGCGATCAAAAAATATAAGATCAAAGTCAACTCCATTCAAATCCCAGATATATCCATATCATTTAATATCCTTCTTAATTCTACAAATTCCCTAGAATCCTCAATTTGGTTATTCCAATTTCTCATCATATCCACAATTTATCCTCGACTGATATGGATATTGGAAAATAATTTTCACAAACTGTCTTTTTTAGAGTCTAAATACTGTGATCAAAAATTTTGAAAAAGTTTCGCTTTAAAAAATATATGCAGTAATTTTCGGAGGGTACAGCCCGAATAGTCGCGCGGCAATAAGGTCGCCAAGCCATAACTTGCTAAAATGCCCTTATCAATTTTGGTACCAATCTCTTTAGCTCGAAGAGAGGAATCGTTTAATACCAAATTTGGAAAGATAAGGAAAACTTAAAGCAAGTTATGGCTTGGCGACCTTATGGCCGCGCGACTATTCGGGCGTGTCACATTTTCGGAACGTCCCACATCAGTCCCTGGCCGTTTCAGTCCCGAGCGTGTAACTCGGGAACTTGGAAATAATTTATTGAACTTTTAGTACCATTAGATAGAGGATTAAATTCTCTACAAAATGATACCAAAGATAAAATAATCTTATCAACTGATAATGAAGTTATTATCAAAAAACCGCGATTTTTAAAAAAAGTCATTTTTTGCATGTTTTTAATCATAACTTTGGTACCTGTCGATCAAATTTTTCGATCAATAGCTTATTTTGTAGCTTAATTAATCCTCTATCCAACGATACCAAGAGTTCAAAACAACTCGAATCTTCTCGAGTTATAGAGCTCGGGACTGGAACGTCCCGTACTGAAGTGTCCCCTACCGGTAATTTTGGAGCGCAACTGTCCTCTATCGAAAAATGACATTAGATCCCATATTTTGGCTCCGGTACAAAATATGGAATCGTTAAAATATGGAATGGTTAAAATCGCGAATAGGCTAAAAAGGGGTTAAAATACCGAATCGTTAAAATATGGAATGGTTAAAATATCGAATCGGGTAAAAAAGGGTTAAAATATGGAATCGTTAAAATATGGAATGGTTAAAATGTCGACACGGCCAAAATGGGTCAAAATGTCGAATTCTTTTAAAAAAGGGTCAGATGAGTGCCATACATTGATTATTGATAATTTTATCAGCTTATCAACTTATTTTTGATAATTTGATGATAAGTCTCGTATGTCATAGTCCGGCGTAATCTTTTCTGCCTGAGTTCACTGAGTAAAATCGGACCGTATAAATCAAGCATAATCGACCGGATGGTCCGGCATGATCGTACGGATCCGGAAAACACAACAGGATCCTGATACGGAAAAATTAGAGTGGCGTCACTAGTTTTTAGTTAAGACCTAAATTTTGTACCTTACCGTATACGGTACGGAATACCGAAAAATACCGATCAGCTTTTAAATTTTATCGGTCGGCATTCCGTACCGTACTACCGACACGGAATACCGAAAAATACCGTCGGTATTACGGTAACGCCCGGATTTTAGGTTTTGGCGCCATTTTTTAAAAAAATTCGACATTTTGACCCATTTTGGCCGTGTCGACATTTTATTAATTCGATATTTTAACGATTCGGTATTTTAACCCCTTTTTAGCCTATTCGCGATTTTAACCATTCCATATTTTAACGATTCCACATTTTGACCCCTTTTTAGCCTATTCGCGATTTTAACCCATTTTTACCCGATTCGAGATTTTAACCCTTTTTTAGCCTATTCCATATTTTAACGATTCGATATTTTGTCCGGACACGCATATTTTTCTTAACTGTATTTCTTTTTCCATATTATCTCTCGCTATTGCTACTAAAATCTTGTTTTTTTTTTTGTAAAAATTTGCAAATTTTTTAAATCACTGTTTTTTTTTTAATGTTTAGGAAAATTGATTTAAAAAATATGATCACTCGAAGCAAAGCCAAACAACAAAATATTCAAGATCAGCAAAATTTGACTAAAGAAAATAATCAAAAGGTTTTTAATTTATTTAGCTTGATAAATGTAGAATTTCAAACTTTAGACGAATCAACAGCCAGGCAATCAAAACAACCAACAATTAGGACAAACTTCTCGTGTGAACAACCAGCAACAACCTGCTCCAGCTCCAGCAACAACCTGCTACGAATAACCCGAACTTTTCTATTCATCTTTTTCTCCCTTTGCTTATTTGTCCATCTGTTGATGGTGTATTAGGAATTGGATCAGATAACCTTGATTGCTGGTGAGTAATAGAATCAAGTTCTCACTTAGATTACCAGACCGTAAGTGTAGGTCCCGAACCCAGAGCCATAGGCAGCTTCCTTACGTAGTCTTTACAAAACATGAGTACGTTGTGATACATGTCATACATATTTTACAGATTTTTAAGTGATTTAAAATTTTTGAAAAAATTTAATATTTTAAAATACAATTAAATATTTGTGAATTTTAGAAAATTTTTGTTTTCTACATCATTTTAAATAAATATTTTGATCATTTCATTCTAAATAATTTAACGTCCATATCCATATCCACCATAACCGTATCCTCCATGTCCATATCCACCTCCTCCAGCTACAAATGAAGATCCACCTCCAATAACGCTTTGAATACCTCCCCCACTGCCGCCTCCACCAGCAACAAAGGAAGATCCAGAAAGGCCATATCCTCCACCAATTACGCTTTGGATTCCTCCTCCTCCACTTGCGCCACCTCCAGAAACGAAGCTGGAGCTTGCTGGGGCAGCCTTTTTTTTAATTGTAGCTGCTTTAATTGCACAAATTGTGGTTTCTGCACCTCCACCTCCTGCTGACCGGTGAATCTTTATGAGGAATGATAATAATAATTTAATCTTAAGTATGCGAGTAAAGAGAGGCGATGCAGTACCGGTGGTTGCTGCTGCTCCCGTTGTAGCTGCTCCAGCCTATTATTATCCTTATTATGCTCCGGTATATATTAATGATAAGTATAGGACTGGGAAATTAAGACCGAATTCAAATTCATTACATCGAGCAATCCTTAAATCAAGAGCCATTTTAGGGAGAATCTTAGTCAGTAATTCAATTAAGATTCAAATAAACTCTTTAAAAAAAGGTTGCACCAGCAGCTTCTAGCTTTGTTTCTGGCGGAGGCGGTGCTGGAGGCGGTGGCATTCAAAGCGTAATTGGTGGAGGCTATGGACATTCTGGATCTTCGTTTGTATCAGGAGGTGGGGGTTTGTATGGAGGTGGGGGAATACAAAGTGTTATAGGAGGACGTTGAAAACTGAAAGAGGACTGAAAAATTTGATTAATGCTATCAACTACCATTTACTTTTAATTAGCCTAGAAAGAAAAATTGATAAAAATGATAATTAAATTAATTTTTAAAGTCAATTCATAAATAATTTTATTTAGATTTGAATTTTAATAAATATTCATATAAATTTTATTTTGTTATTTGTTAGGGTCAGTTAATTTTTAGAAACTTAAAGAAATTTAGAATTGTTCCTATAGATTCTTCCAGGGCTGGCAATCCTTATACAATATAAACTTATTTTCCATTATTTAATGTTTTTAAAATACAATTAAATATTTAAATGTGGAAGTTATAAAGTGAAATAAATAATTTGAATATTCCATTGTAAATAAATTAAAGATTATAGCCAATCTTCTATCCAAAGTTTCAATTTTAAAAAATATTAAAAAATTATATATTGTATTATATCTTATGGTATATTGATTGGGACAACATCAGGTTATCTTGGGATTTTTCATGATTCGCCAGCCCTATTTACAGTCAATGAGGGTAGAAGTCTAGCGATCTAAAAATATAAGATCAAAGTCAACTCCATTCAAATCCCAGATATATCCATATCTTTTAATACCTTAATTCTACAAATTCCCTAGAATCCTCAATTTGGTTGCTAAATGCCCTTGCTAAAATGCCCTTATCAATTTTGGTACCAATCTCTTTAGCTCGAAGAGAGGAATCGTTTAATACCAAATTTGGAAAGCTAAGGAAAACTTAAAGCAAGTTATGGCTTGGCGACCTTAAGGCCGCGCGACTATTCGGGCGTGTCCCATTTTCGGAACGTCCCACATCAGTCCCTGGCCGTTTCAGTCCCGAGCGTGTAACTCGGGAACTTATAAATAATTTATTGAACTTTTAGTACCATTAGATAGAGGATTAAATTCTCTACAAAATGATACCAAAGATAAAATAATCTTATCAACTGATAATGAAGTTATTATCAAAAAACCGCGATTTTTAAAAAAAAGTCATTTTTTGCAAGTTTTTAAATCATAACTTTGGTACCTGTCGATCAAATTTTTCGATCAATAGCTTATTTTGTAGTTTAATTAATCCTCTATCCAACGATACCAAGAGTTCAAAACAACTCGAATCTTCTCGAGTTATAGAGCTCGGGACTGGAACGTCCCGTACTGAAGTGTCCCCTACCGGTAATTTTGGAGCGCAACTGTCCTCTATCGAAAAATGACATTAGATCCCATATTTTTCTTAACTGTATTTCTTTTTCCCTATTATCTCTCGCTATGACTAGTAAAATCTTTTGTTTTTTTGTAAAAATTTGCAAAATTGTTTACCTAAATTATAGTTTTTTTAACTGTTTAGAATAATTGATTTTAAAAAATATGATCACTCGAAGCAAAGCCAAACAACAAAATATTCAAGATCAACAAAATTTGACTAAAGAAAATAATCAAAAGGTTTTTAATTTCTTTAGCTTGATAAATGTAGAATTTTAAAATTTAGACGAATCAACATTCACAAAGTCAGAATAATCAAGGCAAACAAAACGACCAACAATCAGGACAAACTTCTCGTGGAAACAACCAACAAAAACCTGCTGTAAATCCAGATGGGAAAATCAGCGATTGTTTAATTTGTTGTCAACGTTCTGATCTTTTTGGACTTGGGGAGTGCATGCATCCGGTTTCTTTTTTGTTTAATTGGAAATGTTTCTAATTTATTTTATAGATTTGTATGAAATGCTCACTGCGTATCCGGGTGTTTGGAGAAAAAAAACAATGCCCACAATGTCGGACTGCCATCCCAATTGTATTTTTTATTATTTTGTGGTGTTATTTTTATTGTTAGATAGTGTGTTTTAGAGATCGATCTCGGCTAGGGTATTGCTTATCAACCGCTCAAAAAACATTTGTCATTTCTAAAATGATACGGCGTTACCTAATGTCAAAAAAAGCCAATCGAGACCAGTCGAGATTGGGATTTTTTGAAAAAAACCAGCCGATTTTTGGGGTCAAAAATTTGAATTTGGAAGTAGCAGCTCATTTGAAAGAGCTCATCTGATATCTCTCTCATAATCAGAGCATTTTATTGCATTTGATAAACATGTTTTTTTCATGGGGTAATGAGCGATACCTTTACCCTGATCTGGATTTTTCATTTATTCTATCTGCATCTTTATTTTCCGAATCCATAGACCGGCTTATTTTTCGTATTTATTGATCGTAGTTGATTTACCCAATTGCTTTTTGCTTCTATAATTTTCCTTTCAATTTTACAGCTTTACTATGTATCTGCTCCTCCAGGTCAAAAACTTTTAAAGCTTCCAACTAATTGTATTGACCATGTCGAATATGAAGCTAAATTTTCTGTCCGTTTTGATTCAAAATATGCCTTGGAATGCTTTGATTCTTTTTTGGTTGAACGTCGCAAGGAATGTGTTGAGAGGTTTTTTTGGCTTTCGGTTGTCGAGCTTATTTTTTCTATTTTAGACTAAATGAATTGGTTTTCTTTGCCCCAACTACGAAAAGCAATAGGAGTATCATACACGGCCAATTCAAATATAATTTAAAAAAAAAAGAAGTATGGCGCTGCTCCAAGAACCCAATTAAGATGTATAAATGCAATGCTTATTTAAGAGAATTTCAAAAAAATTACATTTTGTGTGCTGATCACACGTGCGATTTGGTAAGATTTCTGTGGTATAAGTCGTATTCACACATTAAAAATATCTGCAAAAAATTTTTATTTTTTCGAGAAATTTTTTGTTCAACTTTTCGAATCCAAAATTTACAAATTTCGAGTTTGTCTCCCCCTCCCTCAGGGATCCAACCTCCTGCTACTAATGTTATATAAATTAAGCTTTGTTGAAGTACCGGGGACCTTTGAATTATTTTCTTTTTAGCTTTTTTAATAATAATTTTAACATTTTAAAGATACAACGATTGGAACATGTTGATCAGGATCCTCCACCAAATCTTGCAATGAAAAATTGTATGATTTTTTTTAATTTTTGAAAAAAAGTTTTTGCGGCACTTATGCCTCTCCCCTCGGTCCATTTTGTGTTAAAGTTGAAAGGTTTAAAAAGCAGAAAAATGGAGGTTTATTCTACTAGTTCAAAACTTGAAACTCGTTAACTTCCACGAGACACGTGCCGCAAATTAATCAACTAGATGTTAAATGATTCATCATTTTTAAAAAGTGTTTGGTGATACCGCGTTTTGTCCGACCGCATTTTTTCTGTCCGTGTCTTGTCCTTTCCACGTTTTGGCCTGTCACTTGTACATATAATTGAGTTTTTTAACCCAACATTCTGACAATTTTTTACCTCTGTAACCTAGTGTTTTCCTAAATTTTTAGCTGGTAAACGTGTTTTTATGGCTTGGGCTGATGGACCTGGATTAACTGACGGAGTGCTTGGCCGCCCAAATAAATTTACTGTTAGCTATACAAAAAATTTGGGAGGTGGAAAATTAACCGTATTAATTGATGGACCCAAAAAGGCTGAAGTTGGAACAGTACAACATCTAAACGAAAACAATTATCAAGTCGAGTTCGTTCTTTTTTCGCTTATACTAATAATTAGAACAATTTCTAAAACTTTTCAATTCAGATACACAGTCCAGTCACCAGGTCTTTACACGATTAATGTTTGTTTTATTGATACTCCGATCCTCGGATCACCTTTTAAAGTATATAATATTTATAGATTTATTTAAATTTAATTTTTTAGTTGTTTGTGAAAGCTCCTCAAATTAATCAAACAATTTCTTGCATTCCTTCCACCTCTACAGATGAACAACAACATTATGATTATTTGCCAGTGAGTAGTAGTAAAATTGTTTTTATTTTTAATACTTAATTTCGTGGCGCGAACTTTGCGGAACAAAAGCTGCATGAGCTTGGTCCCCTTAAGGGTTTTATATTTTCATGAATATGGGTCTCGACATAATGTTGTTTCTCTGGAAAAATTTTGTGTTAGTCGACTCAGGCCGCTTTGCTATTTCGATTGACATATAGATTGCCCAACTCTAAAAATCCCCCGAGGGTATAGTTTATCCAAACTTTGGAAAAATTGTGTTTGGGGCCCAGACTCCGATCCGTTTTATATATGTCATTCGAATAGAATTCGACTAGCTGAGTCGAATGATGCACACGAATCAGCGGCGGCTGTTTTTCAGCGGGGTATTTGAAGGTTAAAGACAAATGGTCATAAAATGTTCAATCATGTAGATTTTGTTTGATGTATTTCGGCTTTTCGAATCCAGCTCCAAAAATCAGCTTGCTCTCCCCGAAGTTTTTTCGACCAAACAGTTTTACCTAATCTTCCAATTTTTCCACTTTTAAAAATAAATTTTAGAAGATTTTAATTTTTTATTTACTCTTTTTTAGATAAAGGATCCAATGTTTTCTCTTCCAACTGATGTTCGACTTGATATATTAAAATGCCTTAATTTCGACCAATTATTTTCTCTAAGACAAACCAATTCTTACTTTTACAATTTAATCAATAAACATGAAGAATAATTGGCAAAGACGAAATTCAATCAGACTTAATATGTACAGATCGGAAAATGTAACCAAAAAATGTAACCATATAAGTTACATTTTGTGAATAGTTTCTCATTGACTTTCGATTAAATTATTTTTGTTTTATGCATGGCTCTTATTTGAATTATTTTGGAATTAACCTACCTTTGTGTTTACAAAATTAAAAATTTTTTGGCTAAAAAAATTAAATTTTCCTTAAAATTTCGAAAATTTTCGCCCGCGGGGCTAAAAATTGAAAAAATCTAGCCTAGATGTTTGCCTTCTCTCTCACACATGCTGAAAAAGACACGTGTGAGAAAAATATATGAGATTTGAACATGCATAAAATTTCTTTTCTTCGATGAGAGCCCTTGTTTTATGTGCATTTGTTTACCTAATTTATTTGCATTTTATTTTTTCAAAATATTTTGACAATAGTTTGGAATTCGCCCTTCCCTTTTTTTCACAGTTTCCCTGACCATTTTGAGCTTCTTTGTTTGATACATAATTTATCATTCGAAAGAGCTTTTCGAGCTTGGTCGAATGATACTATGTTTGGCTAGATCTGATCATTCTTACAAAAAATTATGAAGCTAAATCCTCGTTGGGAAAAGCTTTTTTTTCATTCTAATGTCATTCGACTTAGCTCGAAGAGCTCTTTCGTATGATACCTAATTTGCCATAAAATGGGAAAAAACTATGGAAAAATAGAAAGGAAAAAAAGTGGGGGGGGGGGGGGGGGAATTCCAAACTATTATTATCAATGTTATCTTATAGACATCCTATTCACATATTTTTATCTTATAAAATTTATTCGCATTTTATTTTCGTATGTGCCAATTTATTGCTATTTTTTTTAATACTTTTAAGTTTTTCCCGCCTTTTTCGAAGTCAAAAATAGACACCTGACTCACAGTCAAAGTTGTTTTTAAGCAAAAAAAGTTTCTGAAAATCTAAAAATTCAAATAGGAAATATTTTCCAAAATCTTCGAATCTTGGGAAAAATAACCCGAAAACGATGTCGAATCGGCAAAAAGATTAAAAAATTGGAGGAATTGAAAATTTGTAGAAAATCTGTTGGCGTTGTTGTAGATGCTCAAAGTTAGGATTCGTATCGGCTGTCCCTGACAAATCTACGAATATCTCGAACTTTTTTATTCACTTTTTTCTCCCTTTATTTGTCCAACTGTTACTGGTATTCTTTTGAATAGGATCAGATAATCTGGATTGCTTGTGCCTTCTAGATCCTGAATAGGATCAAGTACTCGCCCAGACCACCAGGCCATAGGAACCCAGAGGCAGAATCGAACCCAGAGGCAGAATTCGCTCCGTAGGCAGACTTACTTATTTAGTCCTTACAAAACATTACTACGCTCTGATAGAAGTCATATATATTTTACAGATTTTTAAGTGATTTAAAATTTTTAAAAAGTTTAATATTTTTTTTAAAAATACAATTAAAAATATTTAAATGTGAATTTTAGAAAATTTTTGTTTTCTACATCATTTTAAATAAATATTTTTATTTATTTCATTCTAAATATTTAACGTCTTCCATATCCATATCCACCATAACCGTATCCTCCATGTCCATATCCGTACCCACCTCCCCCAGCTACAAATGAAGAGCCACCTCCAATAACGCTTTGAATACCTCCCCCACTGCCGCCTCCTCCAGCAACAAAGGAAGATCCAGAAAGGCCATATCCTCCACCAATTACGCTTTGGATTCCTCCTCCTCCACTTGCTCCACCTCCAGAAACGAAGCTGGAGCTTGCTGGGGCAGCCTTTTTTGGAAAAAAATTTTTTTAATGAACTGAGATGGTTTCTTAAAGTCCCTCTAAATTAATTAGAGACAGGATAACTACATATTATTAAATTTTTAATAGATTACAGGAGCATAATAAGCAGGGGCATAAGCTGGTGCCGCATAAACAGGTGCTGCATAAACTGGAGCACAGCATGTGGCATGTCTCTTATCGCTAAAGAAAATATATTTAGAATTAAAAGTGAAATAATTTTGTGTAAAATAATACTGAAATCTAAAGGATAGTTAGTAAATACACGTTCAGAATCTCGAGTATCAAGAATCGCAATTCTTTGGGGTATCGATTTCGGATCCCGATCGATCCTTAGATTCGTCCTTTCATTATCTAATTAAAATTAGTATACTCATTCAGGTGCCTATTTCAATTATGCGCAGATTCTGCGAATACTAGAAGATCTTAGAAACCCTAGAGAATTCTAGAAGTCCCCTAAGATGTCTCAGAATGCCTTCCAAAATTCTCTAATAAAATTAAAATCATACACTGTCTTATCAGCAGGAGGTGGAGGTGCAGAAACCACAATCTGGGCAATTAAAGCAGCTACAATTAAAAAGCAAAAAGTTGAAGAAGACATTTTTAGTAGTCTTATTTTTAGAGGGATGAGGATTTTTTGAAATTTAAAATTAAAATTTAAAATTTAGTTTTATGATTATTAGGTGTGAACACTTCTCTTATTTATAGGTTTAATTTTCTCATCAAAATTAAATTAATTTTACTTATTTACAAAAGCATTCCCTTTCCACGCTAGTTATGACGTTAATCAACAAGGTAATTAGGAAGGGGTAACCTTGGATTAATTTTAGAAAATTAATCACACTTTGAGGAACAAAAGAAAATTTTTTATTAAATTGTACGGTAAAGCAGAACCATTTTAAGCAAAGAAAATTAAATTTTATTTAAATTAAATAAATTAATTTTTAGAATTTTGAAAATTGCTGAAAATTGCTTGTCATCAACAATTAAAAGGGAGAGAGAGAGAATTTTGGGACACGCCCAAGTAGTCGCGCGACCATAACGGCGCAAAGCCATAACTAGCTGGAAGATCTCTGACCATTGTCAATTTTGGTACCAATCTCTTTAGCTCTATAAGTGGAATCGTTTAATACTAAATTTGGAAAGATTCGGACATCTTGAAGCAAACTATGGCTTTGCGCCGTTATGGCTGCGTGCCTACTTGGTCTGTACCCGAGAATTTTCTCGCTAATTTTAAATTTCTCAAATTTGAAAAAAAATTTTTTTTGAGCTTGATTTATTTTGATTAATTATTTTTTGTTTTATTTATTCGTTATTTCGCGAATAAAAGCTGAACAAAAATTTATTTTTGGGGTCCCCCAAAATTATTCAAAAATAAACAGCCTAAAAAGGAACTCTAATTTCTTTGAAATAATTCATGGGAAAAAAATTAATTGGGGAATTTAACAAAAAAACTTGCAAGAAATAATAATTTAAGTGTATTTTCTGTGGAACGGAGAGTAAATTTTAATTTATAGATGCTCGAATTTCCAATTAATTAAAGAAAAATTTGAATTAACGTCATTTAAAGCATCTAGGCATTAGTAAACAAATAAAATTCTTAAAATTTTGATAAGTGAAGTGAAGCCTATAAATAAGAGGAGAGTTCACACTTAATAATCATAATTTATTTTTAAATTTCAAAAAATCCTCACCCCTCTAAAAATTAAAAATGTCTTCTTCAACTTTTTGCTTTTTAATTGTAGCTGCTTTAATTGCACAAATTGTGGTTTCTGCACCTGTTGCTGATAAGACAGTGTATGTTTTTTAATTTGGAATTTAATTAAAGGAATAAATTAGACTGGGTAATTTCATGGATTTTGAAATCCGTATCCAGATATTTACGGCGGATACAGACGGATATCCGCAGGCATTTTGAACTTATTACCTAGCCTGGAATTATTACCTAGCCTCCATTACCTAGCCTCCATTACCTAGCCTCCATTACCTAGCCTCCATTACCTAGCCTGGAATAAATGAAGGTTCCTTTAATTATCCATAGAATGTTGGATGTTTCTATTACTAAATTCTAATATTGAGAAAAATTAATTTGGAAAGCTTTCATTTTTGTTCCTATAATATTTTTTATTTAATATTATTTTTATAATTAAACGAAATTTTATTTCCAGGCAAAAGAGACATGCTGTACCTGCTTATTATTATCCTTATTATTATGCTCCGGTAAATTTTATTAAAACTGAATTAAAAACTAGGATTAAATAAAGGCCGCCCCAGCAAGCTCCAGCTTCGTTTCTGGAGGTGGTGGAAGTGGAGGAGGAGGAATCCAAAGTGTAATAGGAGGAGGATATGGACTTCCTGGATCATCCTTTGTTGCTGGAGGAGGTGGATATGGAGGTGGTGGAATCCAAAGTGTTATTGGAGGACGTTAATAATCTAATATAAATTACGCTATAAATACATTTTGTATGTACATCTTTATACATTAAATATATTTATACATTTATACAATTTCTGGATAAATACATTAGTCTCATCAATTAAAATATTTAACTAAAATTTCACAATTTTATTAAAAATACATTTCTATATTCTATTAAATTAACAAAATTTGCATGTTAATTTTGATCTTTTTAAAAATAATTTTAGCCGTCGAAGCTAAAAAAAGTTTGTAGGAGTAGAGCTTGAGGGGATATCAACCTCACTTCCAATAAATTTTAGATCATTCCTATCCCTATCCTATCTTTTCATATAAACTAAGGGAGATTTAAGTCAAATAATTTTATTGATAATATCATTGATGAGACTTCCATTTATGTTAAAAAATACATACATTGAAATGAGGTAAAGTTAAATAAAATGAGGAAAATTTTTAATTTTTCTCGGTAGAGGAATTCAAAATATTGGAATCAGGGAAAGTATAACACTAATAATTTAAGGTCCCTGGTCCCCTGACTTTCCCTGAATTTGAGGTCCCCTAGAGGACAAAATTTACATGTTAATTTTGATCTTTTTAAAAATAATTTTAGCCGTCGAAGCTAAAAAAAAGTTTGTAGGGGTAGAGCTTGAGGGGATATCAACCTCACTTACAATAAATTTTAGATCATTCCTATCCTAACACTAATAATTTAAGGTCCCTGGTCCCCTGACTTTCCCTGAATTTGAGGTCCCCTAGAGGACCTTATGGATGAAATATTTTTTGCTTGATGACGAGGATTGTCTATAAATGTTAATCTAAATCAAGCACTACGCGAGACTGATACAGTAAAAAATTTTTGTAAAAAATATACAGGGAACTGATAAATTGTTCCATAAATTTATGTTAAAATTTTTTGGTATTTTTTCGTTTTTTAATTTTTTTTTGTAATTTTTTTACTTTTGTAGATTTTTTTGTATTTTTTTTTGTATTTTTTGTGTTTTTTTTTATTCTTGGCATCATCAAACATCTTCGTTATCGGTATAATACTGAGGCACATGGTATTCGTAGTCTTCCACATCCTTGTCTACATAATCACCAGTAATGTCAGCACTTTCATCATTCTTCGTAAAAATTATCCCTAGATAATACCCAATTGTATCAAATTTCTCGTAGGCCATATCAATTTTCAAACCAGGAAAAGTTTCTGTTAAAAGTTGATTTACGAGTTGCAAGGCAATATTAAAAAAATAATCATGATGGTCTGTAAAAATATATTTATTATTTTTTATTCTTTTAACCCCTTATTTATTTGATAACAAAATTTGGTAATAGTTTGGTTGGGAACTAGAAAAATGGGTCGAATGATGCTAAGTCCAGCTATGAAAATTTGAATGCCGCTGCAAAGGATTAAAATAAAGGGTAATGACTTTATTAATGTAAGTCAGATTTCGTTGATTTTGGTGAATTTGACTCTGAGAACAGTGGGACCAAACTAATTGCCCACAATTTTAATTTTTACTTACGCTTAATTAATAGGGAGAAAGTAGTACTTTTCCCCGGCATTTTTAATTTATTTATTGCTTGATCTATTTTATTTGCATATTTAGTATAAACTTGTTGATATTTTTCAACATCGAGTTGTTTTCTAAATAGAAATTTTAGAAAAAAATTATACATATTTTATATTAAAGTCATCCTCAACTTATATGTAGATACACCCTTGAGCGCAAAAATTATATAGTTATTTTAAATCGAGTATATCCATTATTGGGGATATCACTCTACGTTATATTGTGTGAGGTCCGACCATTAAAAATTAGAATATTTTTAACATCTAAAATTAAGATTTCTCATTTTGTCTGTTCCTATGCTAGACATATAATAAATTTTCTAACAGATTATCATATATGATAGACTCCTATGAGACATATGATAATTTCAAACTTTTTTTAGAAATTTTCAAAAAAAATTCACAAAACTTTATAAACCCTCATAAATATAACATTAACCTAGCTATGAGTAATTTTCATAAATTACCCGTTATGTTGAAGAAGCTCGGAATACAAGCTTATTAGACGACCATTATTCGAAAACAAAAGCACTGTTGTTAATGCCCTAGCTACCCCCAACAAATTATAAAAAATATATATATTCTTCTCAAGTTGGGTAGGGGCAAGTAATTCTTTTAAAAGATTGTGCAAAATAGATGGATTCGTTTGATTTAAATGTTCAATCAAATAATTTTTCCTTTAAAAATAATCTTATTAATTAGAGTAGGGGTAAAAGGTAAAGGGTGATTCTGGAAGGGATTAAATCTCTTTATCATAAAGAAACTCTAATTTTGTTAAATTAATAAATCTCTCACTTAATTTTCTTATTATTATGTCCAAAATTTCTTATATAATTTTTTAAACTTTGATTAGCTTTATTTAATTCATTTAATTCATCTGTGAGCTCATAGTATCTAGAAATTATTTTTCCAATTTTATCTTCGACAATTTCCAAATTGCCATTGAGAATGTCCATTGCGTCGTTCAGTTTGTCTTCATACACAACAATCAACTTAAAATCTTGTATTACTAAACTGATATCTAGGAAAGTGTCTTAGGAAAAAGGACCTTTACAATTCTGCTAGAAATTTTTCCAATGGTGAGAACAATCTGTCCTGAAGTTGTAGCATCCATGAAATGAGTCTGTTCTGAATCCATGTGCTCTTGGTTTTCTTCCATTAAATGAGTAAAATGTCCTTCACTCATGTTGCCTCGATTTCCCCATATTAAATGAGCAATTTGTGTTGGATTCAAGATGTTTCTTTTCCTTAATATGTCAATTCCTTTTTCAAAAAGGATTTGTTGAATAGAATAATCATTCTGTTCCAATTCATTCTCTTCAACCATCTCCAAAATTCTAATTAGAAAAGACAACTCCGTGAGAGAAAAATCATTTGATTGATGTTTAAGAACCAGTGTTCCAGCTCTGATTTTCCCTATAATAGTTTTATATTTGGAGAATCTCAAAATATTTTGAAGCAAAAAATCTTTTTTAAACTAAAAATTTAAACTAAAATTTTATAATTTTAATAGTTTCATATTGCTTCTATGAGAATTTGGAGAATTGAAAAATAAGTATTACCAGGATGAAATTGCCGAGAAGGCCCTGATTCATCTTTCCGCTTTTTCGTTCCTTAATAAAAAATTTTTTTTCGTTAATAAAAAATTTTCTGAATTTTGTATTTGTCCTATATACAAAGCCCTTTGAATTTTTCAAAAAAATAGGAACCTCTATTACTTCCATTTTTCATGCCTTCGACTAACAAGTCTCGAGGCAATATTTCACCAAAAAACAACAAAAGTTGGATTATAATAAAAGAAGAAATAATCATTTGAAAAAACTTTTCTTTGATTTTTTTGAAAATTAAAATCTTAGAATAGCTTAACATTTAAACAAATTAATTAACAATCTGTTAAGAAGAATCGAGGTATTCGAGAGAAGAATCGGGGCAAGAGGGGCAAGCAAGAATCGAGGCAAGTTACTATGCAGGAGGCGGCGTGGGTTAATAAATGAGACATCAGTCCGGTTAACTGTAGATGGTTCTTAGCTCCAGGGACGGGACGGGTTGAGAAAAATGACGGATTCGGGTAAGTAGGAACGGAGTTAAAAATTTTCTTCGGATCGGGCTTCGGGATCAGATAGCCCGTCCCCTACCTTGTTCGCTCAACCGACCGATTAGACTTTTTATTAGCTGAAAGATACATAAATAGCTATAGCCCAGATCCGCTTACTATGAAAGTTTAAATTTGACTTTAGAATTGCCTTGAAAATCCCCCAGTAGCAATAAAAAATTTTAAAATTGAAAATATTGGCTATTAATTAAATAAACAATAAATAAATTTTCAGTCAATTTAAATGCCTCTCCCTATTTTTGAATGCCCCTCTCCCCCCCCCCCCCCCCCCTGTTATTGAAAATAAAAGTCTAATCATTGGCCCCTTAATTTTATTTTTAAATTTTAAAGGGAGGGAGGAGGGATAGACAATTTAAATTTTAAGACGTCTATAGCGCCTTCACGTGCTTGAAGCCCGGCAAATGAAAGGGGATACCCGTAGCGAGAATAAAGCTTGTGATTAGTGAATTAATTATGGCAACACATGATTTTAAAAATAAAAACAAATAAATAAATTTCCGGCGCTTCCTTTAATCCTAATTTCAAAACATTTTTTAATGACATGTTTTGAAATTTCTTTAAATTCAAAGTCAGACATTAATGATTATGATAGGTTGTCAAAGCCTGGAGAACTTTCAACTGAACGTATTTTTTCTATTAGAATACCATGGCATTCTATTTTTCAATCAGCTGGCAAAGTGGCATTCTATTAGAGAATGACATTCAACTGGAGAGTGGCATTCAAATTGAGAAATACGGTATATACTTAAATAATTTTAATATATAGGTATTCATAATTTTCTGGCAAGTTATGTATAATATCTTCCTATTAATCCTTAACTCACTTGAAACAAAACCTTTTTTTAAACCCGGTGGGCCGATCTCAATAAGAGATGCCTTCCTATTACACTATAGCTCATTCAAAAGGGCATGTTGTTCTGTATCTAAAACCGGTTGGTGATCTGTCTAATCTGTCTACGAGTTAATTGAATAGGAAAATTAAACCAGAATCTCTAAATCTTAAATAAACACACAAAATTTTTCAATTCTTTTATCAATGAATTCGTTCAAATGTGTTTTAGCACAAAAGCCTATATGAATGAAAGGTGAAGGAGGGGATTGAAGTTAATGGAAGTTGAAGTTTTCGGTATAGGCTTTTGTCTTTTACATATGAAAATTTTGGGGGAGGAACAAACAATGAAAAAATGAATACTTTAAATGTGATTCATCACTTTTTAATATCTTCTTTTTTCTTTTCTCGTCGCGAACTCGATATCATTGATAAGACTTCCATTTGTGTTTAAAAAATACATTGAAATGAGGTAAATTTAAATAATATGAGTAAAATTTTTAATTTTTTATCCCTGTAGAAGAGTAGATAAACCCAATGTAGTATAACACAAATAATATAATATAGGTTCCCTGGCTATCGAAAATTCATGATAATTTTCTATAAGGCCCTCGGAGAGGACCTATGTTCGGTGACAACAAGCTCTACTCTATATTAGGGATAAGTGAAAGGTAAAAGCCATCTAAAACGAGGCTGAATCAGTGAAAAAATATAAAAAATATGCAAGGAACTAATAAATCGTTCCATTGGATTTATGGTGATTTTTTTTGTTTTTTTTGTGTTTCTTTTGTGTTTTTTGTGTTTTTTTTAATTTTTAAAAATTTTTTTGTTTTTTGTTTTTAATTTTTTTTTGTAATTTTTTGTTTGTTTGTTTTGCCCTTTTAGCACCATCAATCATACCCTCAATCATCATCTTCATTATCTTCGCCATCGTCGGTATCATTGTTACTTGATTCTTCACCTTCATTCTCACTTAAATTTTCTCCGGTATAATGCGCACTAATATCCGCACTATCATCATTCAGCGTAAAAATAATCCCTGCATAATATCCAATTGTGTTTACATTCTCGTAGGTCCAATTGATATGTAATCCTGGAAATGTTCCAGCTGTAATTTGAACTATTAATCGCGCAACAACATTTAAAACATAATCCTGATAATCTGTAAAAATATAAATATTATTTTTTTTATTAAAGTAAAGCAGCTGGGCTATAGCTATTTCTATAGCTGTTTCTCTCGTTTAGCTAGTGCAAAAGGTTATTCGGCGGATGGGAGCGAACCAGCATCTTCAGTAGACCGGACTGAGGTTAGACCGGACTGAGGCCAGCATCTTCAGTAGACCGGACTGAGGTTAGACCGGACTGAGGCCAGCATCTTCAGTAGACCGGACCAGAGCTGCACGAAAATTTTTCGTTTCGTTTCGTGTTTCGTAGATTTTCGTGGATTTTTTGATGATTTTCGTTTCGTTTCGCGTTTCGTTTAAAATTAATTTTTTTCGTTTCTTTCGTTTCGTATTTCATTAAAAATATATTTTCGTTTCGTTTTCGTTTCGTAACATGCCATTTTTATACGAAAATGACGAAAAAAATTCGTTATTTTTAGACAATTTTTTTTAATATTTTGTCGTATTTTTAAGTCAAAAATTGAAAATTTTTCTCTCAGAAACTTAAAATTAAAAAAAATTTTGCCTGCGGCGCTGAGAAAGGAAGAAATCTGGGGACTTCGCCTTCAAAACTTCTCA